TTTACACAGGACAACTTGTAATTCCCCTGCAGAGGATGTCTCCCTGCCTTTGCTCCCGTTGTTTCCCCTTCCTAGAACAACTATCCCCTCTCTTATTTTACTTGAAATGTAGTTAATCATCTTTAAAAATCCAACTCAAAGAGTATCACTAATAGTATCTCCTTTCTGCTCCCATAACGTAAATATGTAAGCAAAACATAACTTTATGATAACCTTGGATTGCAACGCTTAATAGTTGCTTACTTGTGTGTCACTTCTCCGCTTGATGAGAATTTCCTTGATGTCAGAATATATCATCACATTCAAAAAAAAAAATCCTAAAACCTAATACCTTCCACTTGGCATATAGTAAGTTGCTCAGTAAGTATTTGTTGAATGAATCAAAATATATATATTTAAAACCTTAACATCTTAGCCTTTATTGCATTTGAAAATTAATAATTTAAGTATATACTTCTATACTTTAGAAGAAAGAAAACACTGAAAGTCTTCATAACCTTGTATTGGAAATAATTTCTTGATACAACATCAAAAGCAAAACCTTAAAGGAAAAATTTTGATAAATCGTACTATCTTAAAATTGAAAACACTTGCATTTCAAACAGCACCATCAAGAAAATGAGAAAAGAGGCTGGCCCAGTGGGATAGTGGTTAAGTTCACACACACTGCTTCAGTGGCCCAGGGTTCAGAGGTTTGGATCCTGAGCACAGACCTAGCACCACTTGTCAAGCCATGCTGTGGCAGCATACCACATAAAGAGAGGAAGAGTCCCACAGATGTTAGCTCAGCGACAATCTTCCTCAAGCAAAAAGAGGAAGATTGGCAACAGATGTTAGCTCAGGGCAAATCTTCCTCATACATACACACACACACAAAAAGGTGAGAAGATAATCCACAGATTGGGAAGAACTATTTGCAAGTCATATATCTGATAAAGGATTTATATCCAATTTATATGTAAGGAATTCTTAAAACTCAATAATAAAAAAAAATAAACCCAATTAGTAAATGCTCAAAGAATTGGAATAGACATTTCCCCAAAGGAGATATACAAATGGCCAATAGGTACATGAAAAGATGCTCAACATCATTTGTTATTAGGAAACGTAAATCAAAAGCACAAGGAAATACCACTTCATACCCACTAGAATGGCTATAATAAAAAAGACAAACAAGTTTTGGTGAGGATGTGGGAAATTGCAACTCTCATCATTGCTGGTGTGAACGTAAAATGGGGCAACCAGTTTGGGAAACAGTTCTTTAAATGTTAAACATAGGATTACCGTATGATCCAGCAATTCTACTCCTAGGAATCTACCCAAGAGAATTGAAAACATATGTCCACATAAAGACTCATATACAAATGTTCACAGCAAAATTATTCATAGCAGCCAAAGGTGGAAACAACCTAAATGTCTATTACCTGATGAATATATAAATTACATATAGTATATCCACATGATGGAATATTATTCAGCAATAAAAAATGAAATACTGATAACATGCTACAACATGAATGAATCTCAAAAACATTATGTTCAGTGACTAAAGCGAGTCACAAAAGCCTACATATTCTGTGATTCCATTTATGTGAAAGGCATGGAATAGCCAAATCTATAGTGACAGACAATAGATTAGCAGTGGCTAGAGCTGGGGGGAGGGATTGGCTGTAAGTGACTGCTAATGGTTATGAGGTTTCTATTTGGGGTGATGAAAATATTCTCCAGTTAGATTACGTTGATAGTTGCACAACTCTTTAAGTACACGAAACTCCATTAACATTTATCCTTTAAATAGGTGAATTTTATAGTATGTAAGTTATATCTCAATAAAGCTATTTAAAGTAAACACTGGGTTTTCCTTTAATTCAGTCATTTGTCCTTAGGTTAAAGTCCCACAATTTGTTTTAAAGGTAAGTCTAGATAACAATGGTTTGGAACAAAAGTTATATATTCTTTTTCTAAGATACAAACCACAGTTTTATATGACTGAAATTATGAAAACATATTGAGCTTAGTATAAAATATATTTAAGGTGATTTGGATAAATAAAATATTACACATTTTTAAATATTAAAGCTTCATAAGCACTTCAGAAAAAAATTGAATTAGAAACTTTTCCCATAGATAGTCCCAAATTCCAAAGTACTGTAAAGACTGTGCAGTACACATCTGTTGCTTAATCAAATTAAAGAGGTGAACATTTTAAAAGTGCTTTATTTTAGTTGCCTGATTACTGTTTATATTTAGTTAAATTTCTCTTACCTTGAGCCCATTTCAAAATATGCAATTTTTCAACAAGATTTTAATGGACCTCAGGTGCACAGAATTGGAATGATCATTTTTCTAATTAGAAAATTAACATCATTCAGTTGCAATGAACAAATATTTGTCGAATATATATGTATGTGTGTATACATATGTATCTATATTGATACACACACATAGACTCCATTCTTGGTACTTGCCTATCGTGTATAATCTTCTCTTGCTGATTTATATGTTCTGATTAAAGGCAATGTGGTAAAGGGTAAATGAACTGAATTGGGAATTCAATGTTCTGCATTTAATGCAAATCAGCTCTCTGTGATTACCTGAGTCTCAGTTTTTCTAAAGTTCATTAGGGCTCTAGAATTCTAAACGTAATTTTTCAATTATATAAAACATTTTTCAAAGTAAAAACTTTTCTAGTTATTTTTGTAGTTTCTAAAAATTGCCATTTTTTAGTTGACTAGAAAAAGTTCTCAATGTGAGGAGGTGGAAGTTCTGTTAAATCTTCAGCTTGCCTAGTTACTTGTAAGTAGTGTGCAGAGTTCAAAGGTAGTTGCTGTTATGACAAAAACCCTGTGTTATCAGACCTCAGTTATCCCACATTTGGGCATAAGTGACTGGTGATCCACTCTAGCCTCTTCTCTGAACCAGTTCTAAATTGCTGCCCAATGATTATAAACTGGCGTTTCTCAGTTTAAAGCACAGATAGTTGTAGAAAGGTCACTATCAATATTTTTGAAGTTTGTGTCCACGAAAACTGTCTAAACAGTTGGTTTTTCATTACCTTCACAATAATACATTGCATGGGGTATTGCATGCCCCAGGGGAGGGGCATAATTTTGGAAAGGCAGTTCCTTTCCACTAAGAGCAATTCCTAGGGGCATTCTCAGCTCTGATCCCTCAGCAGGCAACAATCACAGCTGTGAAGGGAGTAGAGACTCTGAAGGAGGACCCGGTCAATGGCCTGCAGCATCCTCTCTAACATTCCTACGTGTTCGTAATATCTCTTACCCCTTTTATAAGACAGTTAGAGGTTGGGCAGCTGCAATACAACAGATGAACAATATCTTCCAAGTATTATGTCTGTAGATCCACCACTGGCATCTTTAGACATCATCTTAAGACTGACTCCATCTGTCTCTGCCCTTGTAATTTGGACATGCCCAGCTATTTCTCCATATGTTGGGTTGTGGATTTATAATGCTCCTTGCCATTTGCCTGCTTTCCCTTTCTGTTTTATTGTTCTCACTGGTTTTAGGATGCTTTCTGTTCTCCCCCTTCTATACTACAGTCGGTTCTGCTTTAATGTGATATTTGCATCCCTAAAAATCAGGAGTTATGCAAAATTGCACAGTAGAAAACATAGGACTTATAGAGAAAAAAGGAGTTTTCAGTTCAACACCAAAAACTTTATCAATGACATAAAAAAGACATAGAAAACTAATAAAAATGGTAGCACAGTTTTACATGTCAAATAGTCAAGAATTCCATAAATACTGTGATAAATGTGACTCCTTACCTTGAAAAAGACCTGCAGTTTGCTTATGGAAGTGGATGTCACAAGGGTTATAGCTGTGAGTTATTGTGAAGTGGTGGCAGAAGTATCTGATATCAGACAGAAAGTTGTAACACGGAAGTGGATGGTTTGACTCAGAGCACACAGTGAACTGAGCTCTGTCTTAGACGTTTGAGGAAAGTGCACGCAGGCATTCTGTGCAGCCCTATATGGCTTGGTTCAGCTGGGTGCAGTTTTCTGTGTTCAGCATGTGATTCCCAGTAACAAAATCACACATAAGAGAACACAAAATTAATTGTTTCTTAATATATGTATTATGGTGAAAGAAATTCATGTTTTCCAAACCAGCATTATAGCAGTACTTCCTTTGCTTTTTCTCCATATTTTATTTCAACTTGATTGTGCTTTTTTTCTCTTAGCATTTATTTTTCCCCCATTGTTGCTCTGTCTTCCACAGAAAATCTCTCCAGTTCAGCTAAACTGTAGGGCATGCTTGTGAAGACGTGGGTCACCTTGGTTTCTAGGCAGCTCCTTCAGATGGGGGAAAATCAGTATCAAAGTATTTCATCCCTTTCAGGCTCCTTCTCGTGGGTTTTGTGCGCTCATGACCTATGTTGATAGAAATATAGAAATCAAGACTTATCTATGCCTTTGTTCCAGCTAGGTCAGATACACAGCGGGAATAACCTTCTTTAAAAGAACAATGTTGTGTAAGTTCTTTTTCTGAGTGTCACTGAAAATAAAACTTGCAAATGCACAGAAGATCTTGAATAAAAATAGAAAATATTACATAGATTCTGTGGCTTCGCTTATCATTAATGATAATATGCTGTGTTACATAAATATCATATGGTTTGTTTATAAAAAATTTTATATATCATTGATAAAATAATAGCTGCCACTTACTGAATGTTTCAGATACACCAGTGCTTTGTGCTAAGCTATATATATGTGTGTTAGTCCCAGTCCAAATGCGTCCATCAATCTGCTTGAAAATTACTCATCTATCTTTATCTTTGAATGTCAAATAAGAATTTTCTCAGAAACTTGGTTTTTTTCTAAAACTAGTTCTCATCTAAAACTTTTCTCAAAACTCTCTTGGAGGTTTTATTTCTCAATGTGAAAGCTGCATCAATTTCATTTCTTCAAGTTCATGAATTTTAAATTAAAGATGAAGAAGATCTTAAGTGCCATTTCTTTTCTTTTCCTGCAGCGTTTGTCCAATGGTTCTATAGACTCAACCGATGAAACCAGTCAAATAGTCGAACTTCAAGAATTGCTTGAAAAGCAAAACTACGAAATGGCCCAAATGAAAGAACGTTTAGCAGCCCTCTCTTCCCGAGTGGGAGAGGTGGAACAGGAAGCAGAGACAGCAAGAAAGGATCTCATTAAAACAGAAGAAATGAACACTAAATATCAAAGGGACATTAGGGAGGTAAGTGATTCATAACACTTTCAGTCTTTGCTTTGTGAATGCTGCCTCTGAGATGCCTTTTCCACGGTTTCCCATAATGGCATATACTCTACATCTTCGCAAAAGACTATAATTTGGGATGCATCATATTAGCTATGAAACTTATGGACTAAGGCAAAAATAGTTCACTGCATCAACCCTTTAAATATGTATGGAAAGAAATTTTGGTATCAAATCTCAGATACAATAAAAATTTTTATACAATTTTTAATGAATTTTTAAAATTTTTAAGCTGTTAATTTTAAATAATTCTAGATATGGGTATGGATGGTGAATTGCTACACTCTTAGCCTGTGAGAATACTCAAAGACGTTACTTTAGGTTTTCCCCTCTTGGTTTTGTGTCTATGAATGTGAGTGTGTATGTGTGAATGTGGGAACCTTTCTTTCTGTATATATTCAATTCTTACTAGACTTAACAGCGCTTCATCTATTTAAAAAAAGAGTGCTTGAAAGTTACTACAAAAGATACAAGGAGGTGTTTTATTTGTAACCTTGCCTAATCATCTTACCAGCTAAGGTGAAAAGTTTAGAGTCTTTCACTTTTTCACTCTATTCAATTAAAAAGAAAATTATATATATTTATGGAAATTTTATTTTGTGACTTTTAACCTTTTCCATTTTTATATATTCTTTTAAATAATATATTCTTCTATTTTTTTGTATCTTTTGTGTGTAATTAACCAGTTATTGTTACAGTTAACTCTTTGTATCCAATTATTTTCTTCCCATTCTCTCTTGAGCCCATTTTATCATACTTCTCCTCCATTGTCCCGTTAAACCTGTTCTTATCCAAGTTATTGCTGACCTCCATGTTGTTGAATCCAGGGGTCACTTCTCAGTCCTTTGAAGCACTTGATCCAATTACAACTTCCTGAAGTACTTCTTAACTTGGCTAATAGCACACTATGCTCTCCTGATTTTCCCCCATCTTTACCTGATACCTCCATCTCAAGCCCCTTTATTGACTCTACTTCCCACCAATCTTGGAGTGCTTTCCATTTTCAATTTATCTTCACTCCCCTGCTAAGTTTATGAAGTTTCTTGGCTCCCAAAACCATTCATTGCCTTATGACTCCCAATTTCCATCTTCAGTTTATCCTTGTCTCCCGATTTCCAGATGCCTGTATCTAAATATCTAATGGATATCTCAAAATTAACATGTTCAAGACTGTTTTCCTCTTATTCCCCTAAGAAACCAGACTTTCCTGCAGTCTTACACGTCTCAGCTGATGGTGACGCCATTATTTTGGCTCAGACCAAAAACCTTGGAGCTGTCCTTGGTACCTGTCTTTCACTCCCAAACTTCATTTGATACAGCCCTAAACCCTATTATTTCCAACTTCAAATTATATCCATAATATGACCTCTTTTTACAATCTTCATGGCTCTTCCTTGTTCCATGCAACCATCATCTCTTACTGGATTATTACTATAGTCTCTTGACTGGTCCTCCTAATTCTGCCTTTGGCCTACTTCAGTCTATATGCAACACAGCAGCCCGAGTGATCTGTTACAATGTAAGTCAGCTCAAATTACTTTTCTGCTTCATCAATGGCTGCCTATCCTACTCAAAGTAAAATCAAAGCCATTATACTGGCCTACAAACCATGTATAATCTCTGCTACCACCTTCCTGACCTCTTGGAACTAACCTCCTACTCTTTCATTTTAGCTCGCTCTGTTCAGTTAAGGTGGCCACTTAAACAAGCCAGATCTATTCTGTTACATTTTCTTTTTGCCCTGCCTTTGTTCAAATGTCTTCTCAGTGAAGTGTTCCCAACTGTGCTATTTACACATATACACTCTCCCTCTTTCATTTTTTTAACCTCACAGCACTTACAGCTGTCTAACACAATATATACTTTACTGATTTACCTGTTTGTCATATGCCTCCTCTCCACTGTACATCAAGATTCAGAATGGTTGCAATGTTTTGTTGTCTGATTTTGTTCACAGCTCTATTCTAACCACCTACACAACTATTGAGCATATAATAGGCACTCAAAAAATCTTCGTTAAAGAAGGGATATTTATAGGTGTTTGATGTAAACATCAAAAGGAATGGATGAGATTAGAATATGTACTACAACAATGCCTACTGTCTCAGAAAAAGATGGATGGTCCATGAAGAGGTAGACTACTCTACCACCACACAGATAATGAAACTGTGCTCTCTACACTGTTATATGAATTAATAGTTCATAGATGCGTCCTCATCTTCACTCTTCCCCACAGCCCTAACCCAGAGAATTTATAAAGTAAATGAAGATTTGCCTCTCCCGATATCACTGTTAAGGCATACTAAGATTTCTGGCTAGTAAACCATCAAGACTAGGTCTTAAGCTTTTGCTTATTTTGCATTTACCATCCTCTTAGTCCCAGAGATTTAGCTGTTTTCCTTTCATTTAACACTCACCTCCTCTATCCAGTGTCACAGATAGAGCCCAGTATCTCCAGCTCCCCTTTCTTATTGCCTATGTTAAAAAAGAAGGAAAGAAAGGAAGAAAACCTTGATTCTAATAATCCTTTGGATGTAGGTGACAAAAGGCTAAGTCTGAGGGAAAATATCAATCACCTGTTGCCAGGTGTTCTTTTATTAGGAATCCCTTCTAATAGGTAAGATGTTCTGCTTTCACATGGAATTCTTTTAAAATATAACTATTCTTATCAGCTCTATAATTTCTATGCAGTTGTATTTTAGAAGAGTTTCATGAGAAAGGAATATCTCTCATCATTTACCTTCGAAGGGAAGTTGCAAACACAAATGCTTTCAGACTCGTGCAGGCAGTATAAATGTGTAAAGTGCCAGGTGCCACAGCAGGAAATGATAGAGTTAACAAGACCTAGACAAGGAGCCTATACTCTGCCTTCTTGGCTGGATGCATCATATTTCTGTGTGTGTGTGTGTGTGTGTGTTAAGGACACTGTGAAGGCCAAATAAAATATTTCCAAAAAGACTCAGGTCATAAGCCACGGGTCCCTGGTTTGCTGCTAGGAATTTCTTGAGAACCAACCATGAAAACTATTTTAGGTGCTTTATATTTAATGTCTCTAATTTCTTACAACTGTCCTATAGGGGACATTCTTGTCATTATCCTCATTTTTATCAGGTGAGGTAAAGTGACTTGTCCAGGGCCTTTACACTGCCCTCCCCAACATTCCACTACCCCTAAGCCCCTAACCCAGGAAGACACAGGATCAGCCTGGCTTCAAAACTTGTGCTTCTTGGGGCTGGCCCCGTGACCAAGTGGTTAAGTTCACGTGCTCCGCTGCAGGCGGCCCAGTGTTTCATTGGTTCGTATCCTGGGCGCAGACATGGCACTGCTCATCAAACCATGCTGAGGCAGCATCCCACATGCCACAACTGGAAGGACCCACAACGAAGAATATACAACTATGTACCTGGGGGTTTGGGGGAGAAAAAGAAAAAAAAAATTTAAAAAAAAAGAATTAAAAAAAACCCAAACTTGTGCTTCTTCCACTATGAGCAGCCTCCACAATCAACAGAATACAATTATTTATTCAGTGATAGCAACTATCATAAAAAAATGCATCTGCACTGTAACTGCCCCCTAAAAAATCAATCTTTTGATCTTTCTTTCCAACAAGCAAGAAGATGTGAAAATCCGTACTTTGTAAAGGTATCACTTACACTTGAAACTCCAGGCTCTCCTCTCATTCTCCTGAATAATAATGTACTTTTGGGCTATGATCACACAAAGTCTACTGGATTCCATGTTTTTTAGTAAGAAAAAGAATAAGGTGATTCTTCTTGCTACCCCTATAGCATTGCTAGCACAGTATGATTTATATATTGTATAAGCAATAAATATTTGTTAAATTAATTAAGGAAAAAATCAAGGAATAAGAAAAACTGACTATATAATTAAAAGCTGAAGTATATTTTTCTTTGCATGTGAGGATAGTCTGATAAATCTAAAATGAATTATATAAGTATATTTCATTAGTAGTTTCAGAATATATTTTTGTAATTATTCTTGTCAAGAAATACATCTACTCCAAAATGGGTTTTATTTGAAGATTTGTCTTAGTTGTTCCTTAAAGTGACTGTGACCTATTAGGGTAGGGGGCTGGATTAAAGCTCGGCACAGTACTCACGTTAGAAAATATACATACGGTAGTTCCCCCTTATGAGTAGTTTAGATTTCCGTGGTTTCGTTTTACCTGAGGTCAAATGTGATCCAAGAATGTTACATGGAAAATTCCAAGTATAAACGATTCATAAATTTTAAATTGTGCACCTTTCTGAGTAGGAGATTAAATCTCATGCCATCCTGCTTCATCCAGCCCAGGACGTGAATCATCCCTTTGTCCAGCGTATCCATGATGTACGCGCAATCCTCTTGGTAGTCGCTTAGTAGTCTCCTTGGTTATCAGATGGACTGTGGGTAGTCTTGCAGCTCTTGTGTTCAAGTAACCCTCATTTTACTTAATAATAGTCGCAAAGCGCAAGAGTAGTGATGCTGGCAATTCCGATACACCAAAGAGAAGCAAAGTAAAATGCTTCCTTTAAGTGAAAAGTTGAAAGATCTCAATAAGGAAAGAAAAAAAAAAATCATGCTGAGGTTGAGTAACTTTTATTACAGTATAGTTTTATAATTGTTCTACTTTATTGCTCTTACTGTGCCTCTTTTATAAGTTAAACTTTATCATACGTGTGTATGCATAGGAAAAAACATAGTAAACACGGGGTTTGGCACTATCTCCGGTTTCAGGCATCCGCTGGGGATCTTGGAACATATCAGAGGGTTGGCTCTTTGCTTTTTAATCAAGAAGGCTATTGATCGGGTATGGGATAATGTCTCATTAAATATATAGATATGCAAAGAATTAGAATTTTCTGTGAAACATTTAAATTATGTTTTGTTTTGTGAATAAAACCAGCTTATCTTCCCAACTTCCTGTTAAGACCTCTTGAAAACTTCTCCAAGTGATTAAATGAATGAATGCATATCAATTTCTTTTATTATCCAAAAGATGGAGTTATATTTTTCACTTTACTAGATCTAAGTTGCTGTAAAGTTATAGTAATTTATTATATTATATATATTATTATGTATTACATATATTATATATAATATTATATATTATATATAGTGATATATTATATTATATATATTATACAGTAATTTATATAATAAAATCCAGTTTATACGTCAACTTCAGGTCAAGAGATAATCGAATCTTTACTCAGTTTTTATCCTTTTTTTAGGCAGCAGTTTTCAGGCACTATAATAAGCTTCTTTTTTCAGAATTTCCAAGTCACACACAGGGATAAAATATTTCTCTGACGTATAAATTTAAAATTTATTTTTGGCGACAGTCTACAGTTAAAAATTGAATCTCCCACATGAATCACTGAATCTAAAATGCAATACCAAAGTCACATATAATGACTCCTGCATATAACATATGCCATAAAGTCAGATCAACTAATTATGGGCATGGAAATAATTAATAATAAAAAATCAGCTATTATTTATTGAGTGTGTTTTGTACACAAGACACCGTGAAAGCACTTAAAATATTGCATCACAACAATGTTATGTGGTAGGTATTAATATCCCACCCAAAAACCAAAAAACAAAGAAAGAAGATGAGGTATAGAGAAGTCAAGCACTGTTTACCCATAATAACAGAGTTAACAAGTATCAAAACTTAGGATTTGAAGCAAGTATGTGCTACTCAAGTGCTCATGTTCTGAAGAAATGTGAGGATGTGTATGCATTTAACTGAATTTATTGCTGTTATAATTTAGTAAGAAGTTTATATATGTAGGCTAGATTCAGAATTTTCTCTTTGGGCTACAAAATTGTTGTGATATTCCCATAGTTCTGTATGAAAATGAAATTGACAGAATATAATGCAGTCATGCATCCTTTAATGGTGACAAATTCTAAGAAGTGCATCATTAGGCTATTTCATCATTGTGCAAACATCATAGAGTGTACTTACACAAACCTGGATGGTATAGCTCAGTACACACCTGATCAGGATTTGGCTCTATGGTACTAATCCTATGGGACCACCATCATATATGCTGTCTGTCATTGACCAAAACCTTGTTATGCGGCACGTGACTGTGTTAACAATTGTAAGCACTCTGAAAGGATCCTCTAAGATTAAAAACTCTACCCTCATTTGGCTAAAAAATGTATATAGGATAGAGAAAGATAGATAGAATTTAAGACGAAACCTTTTTAAACAGTAGCTTTTGTTTGGAGTGTCTAAAATCTAGGGGTGTGCACAAAATGTTGAAAAAAATTATTGTGGATAATTTTTGCCAAGTTGATGGATTAATTGAATTTCATACATTTGAACTTTGATACTAACCTAATTAACCAAGTAATCTTTAATTGGGTCTTGAAGGTCAGCAGAATTGGGGTAGACAAACAAGGAAACAAAAACGCATCCCAGGTAGAAATGAAGTCACAGGGTATGTTAGTTTCCCCGAGTGCCTTAACAAAGTACCACACACTGAGGGGCTTAAAACAACAGTAATGTGTTCTCTCACAGTTCTGGAGCCTAAAAGTCTGAAATCAAAATGTCAGCAGGGCCATATTACCTCTGAAGTCTCTAGTGAAGAATCCTTTTTTGCCTCCTCTAGCTTCTGGTGGTTGCTGGCAACCCTTGGTGTTCTTGGCTGGTGGCAGTATAACTACAGTCTCTGCTTTCTCTCTTCACATTGCCTTTTTTCTGTGTGTCTTTGTGTCCCCAGATATTCCTCTCCTTGTAGGAAAGCCAGTCACTAGATTTAAGGCCTACCCTAATCCTGTAGGACCTCATCATAACTTGATTACATCTGCAAAATCTTATTTGCAAATAAAGTCAATTCACAGGTCTGAGGTGGACACAAATTTTGGGTCGAGACTATTCATCCCAATACATAGAGACATGTTGGATCGTGAAGCTATTTGTTTTCTAGGCTTTGTAGCTCAGATTTTACATTGAAGGTGGAGGAGCATATAAAGGTATTTAAGCCAAGAAATGATATGATCAGATGGGCATTTAAAACTATCTCTTTGTCAGCAGGGTGGAGAATAAATAAGCAGGAAAAAAGACTAATAGCAAGATGACAGGTTAGGTTATTAAGTGGGAGTTAGGGTAAAGGAGTTTTCAAGGATGATCCTAAACTTCTGTGGAGAGTAGTGCCATTCCCTAGTCAAGTAATATGAGAAGAAGAGTTGATTTGTGGGTGAGCAGGGGGACTAACATGATGAGTTTCATGGTAGGTATATTATTTTTTAGTTAATTTTGATTTTTTATATATACATAATTTTTCAGTCAAATAGCATCAAGATGGTGCAAATCCAAAGACACACATACACACATACAGAGCCTGCACCCACCTCCCATCTCACTTCCCTGAGATTCTTAATTTCAACCTTTCAGTCATTACTTCTGGTATTTTCTCTCTCATTTAAACTTAATCTATGTCTTGCTCTTATATTATATGGGGATTTTAACTTTCTTATTCTCTTCCCTCCTTTCTCTTCCACCCATTTTTCTGCTATAGTTATCTCAAAATCACACTCAGTGTTACTATTTTTATGACTATGTAAATAATTTCCACAACCAATGCAAGTAATGGCTTCCTGTGATAGTATTTACTTTCACTGTACAGCTTTCTGTTTTTCCAGGATTTTATTAATTATCTGATATATTAATTTGCTTACTTATTTTTAAAACTGCAGTAAATCTCCCCACCCAATCCAAAAGTTTGGTAAAATTTCATAATTTCATTTCAATTATGGTCAATTTTCAAGTAGACAATTGATCATTCTTATTTTTATTTTCTTTGAATCATCACTTCTTCCTCTGCCCTCCACCTCTGATGTGTACCAGCTTCTTTATAAGCCTGCTTCATTGTTTCGGCTGTTGTTATGGGATTTACCTCTACTATCACTTTGAAAATCCAGAAGAAAAAGTGATCAAGCTCCCTTAAGAAGAAAATGCATGAAATCCCCAGCATAGATAATAATTAAACTTTGAGAGAAAATGAAACATCTGTTTTAAATGGAAAGCTAGAGGTTAAGGATCTGTGTGTATGTGGTTAAATTTCCTGATGGTGGTGAGGGAAGATCTGGAAGTTGAAGGACTATCCATTTAAGGGCTTCTATTTTTTTTGGAAAAGTGGAGAAATACTTTTCCACTGGATACTGGAGGAGAGGAACAAAAGGACTAATTAGGAATGAGTGATCAAGGGAATCTGGATAATAATACATGGAAACCACCACCATCCCCTCAACTTCAGGCTCCTTATGCAAAGGAGTGTCCTTCAGTATCAGGAAACCACACCAGGCCGATGAGGCTCCCTTCTCAGCTGACTTTTCCCAACATCTTCTCAAAAAAGTCAATCTACCTACCAATAAATTCGCAGTAAGCTGTTAGAAAGATAAAATCGTCTCCATATCATCTATGAGTTAGATGGTTTAACAATTATTTAAAATATTATTAATGCCACAGTTTTACTCTATTTGCACTGATAGTTGATTTTTCCCTAATTATGTGTTTATTGAGCTCTCTAAATTCTTTTTATTGAAATATAAATAGCAAGGGAAATGGTTAAATTCCAAAGTCAATTGGTCAATTTATATGTGAATATAATTCAATTTTACTTTTTATATTTACTTGGCCTCCTCTTTTAACTATTGAGTTACTCTTGCTTATATGTGAAGATATGAAATCAAATTTTTGATTTTTCATGATGATATTTATTATCCTTATTTGAAAATTACTTTGCAATTTGGAACTATAGCCATCATTTTACCAACTTTATGGTTTGCAACTCTCCCCTTAATTGTACTTATCTCTATTATGCAAAAAGCTGATTTCTCTGCCACTTTTTACCTAAGAATGCCAGTTCCACAGTATGCAGTTTCAAACTGTATTCCATTGCATTCTCAGAGAGAGCTTTTGGTTAACCCAAGATATAAGAAGAATTATGACAGATAAGTTGGGAAAACCCACATGAAATCTTGCACCCCTTCCATGAAAATAAAGGAATGAATATTTACTTTAAGAAAGCAGTAGTTTTTATGTCTTACTATTTTATTTAAATAAGAAAATACAGTAAACTATCTGAGAATCTGATTTGAATTTTTTTTATTATTTCAATTTTAGGCCATGGCACAGAAGGAAGATATGGAAGAAAGAATCACAACCCTTGAGAAGCGTTACCTCAGTGCTCAGAGAGAATCTACCTCCATACATGACATGAATGATAAGCTTGAAAATGAGTTAGCAAATAAAGAGGCCATCCTACGGCAGGTTCAGTATCTCCCTCTTGGTTTTGTTTTGGTTCATGTGTATGTTCTCACCATTGTCACAAAACGTAGAGTAAATAAAATAGAGTATTTCTTGGCAATAAATCATTCTCTAAAACTGAGAATGGAGCTAACTCAACAGATGTGATTTTCAATATGTAATTTAGAAATCTGTCTTAATAATAATAAAAATAACAGCTAATGATTACTTTGGATCTAGGCATGAACCAGAAACTGTGGTAAACAGTTTACGTATATTACCTCACTTAAACCTAACCACCACCTCCGAAGTAAGCACAGTTATACCGGGGACACTAAGGTTCAGAGACATGAACATTCTTCCAAGGTCACACATCTGGTAATTGCCACAGTCGATAATGGTAGCCTAAGTCTGTTTGGCTCGAGCAGGAGTGGGCAAAGTATGGCCCATGTGCCAAAACTATGGCTCTATTTTATAAATAAAGTTTTATTGAAACATAGCCATACCCATTCATTTAATCATTGTCTATGATTGTTTTTGTGCTACAATAGCAGAATTGAATAGAGACCAAACAGAGACCAAAGCCTGAAATATTTACTATCTGGCCCTTCACAGAAAAAGTTTGTCGACTCCATCTCCTGAGCCTGGACTCTTAACCATTATCCTCCCTTCACTCTCCCACTCCAGCTAATACTGTGATTTTCAATATTTTGCCATCATAGTACATCTGAAGTCTTAGTACTGATTTGTATTCCATTTGTCCAAGTTTAGACTCAGTAGTAACTTCTTTTCTTTTTGCTGCCATTGGTAAGAGCTTTTTTATTTTTTTAATGTGTTGAATTTTATTAAGGAATATGGATAAGTAATATGTGAAAGCATGAGGGCAATCATCTCTTTGCACCGGAAGTGTAGTAGGAGTAGCTAATTTTGAGTGTAGAATAATGGCTGAAGCCCAAAGCCCCTAGTGACTGATGTTTGCTATCCTAACAGTGACTGTTTAAGCGTCTCTTTTTTCATCCCTATTTCAGATGGAAGAGAAGAACAGACAATTGCAAGAGCGTCTTGAGCTGGCTGAGCAAAAGCTGCAACAGACAATGAGAAAAGCTGAGACCTTACCTGAAGTCGAGGCTGAACTGGCTCAGAGAATTGCAGCCCTGACAAAGGTACTGCAATAAAACAATTGGTCAATCTAGATATCCTTGTAGAAGTGACTAGTAACCCACACAGAATCTGTAAAGAGTTTCTTTAGCCTTTGTGAAAATCGAGTTTATTTAATGTTTATTATATTGGTCTGTTATTTAGATGAATTTTTCATATTACATGTATCTTTTTGTGCTGATATGAATGACTAATACATGAATGGGATGATCCCTTTGCCTATTTTAAACATGAACAAAAGCAAACAAACTTTTCTGTCTGTATAATTAATTTTCCATGGTAATATTGGCACATAAGTGTACTCACCAAATGTAAACACACAATGATGATATTTGATATGTATATACATGAGGCATAACAATTTAATAGGCTTAACATAGGTAGTTTCATATTAGAAATGTAGGAAATATCAGAGGAATTGATTCCTTTCTGACTAGAGTAGGAAAAAAATTGTTACAAGTTGGAAGTTAGATTTGTAGAAGTCTAAAATCTAAAGCCATTAAATAGTCAGAAAGTGGTTTTAATAGCTGCAATTTATTCTGAACCAATTAAAATCAATAATAATGTGAAGAATGTTCAAAATTATTTTCTATGCTATGGCCATTAGATGCTGCAATTATCTGCACATTTTAGAATTTTGCAACGATTATAATGTTAGAAATGATTATTCTTACCTTTCACAGTGAAATGGAAATGGCATTGCTTCAAAGAGTATATGCATGTCACCAGAATAAAAGTCCAGCTTTTGTCACTAAAAACATGTTTGACTTTTAATATCAATTAAAAAATGTACACACATTTTAGATGTTCACACAATCGTCACTATGTGCTAAGTTTTCCACGCCACTGCAGTAAATGAGTGAGACAGATAGATGAAACTGAAGTTACAAATTCTGGCATTAGGGATTGTCCAAAACAATTGATGCAGCAATGTAAAAGTAGGCACACACACTTGCTTTCCTGAAAAAATAAATAATTAAAGAGGAACAATAGAGTGATGCCTATTGGTTAAAATAGGATAGTTAGGTAGTGAAAAGGCAGACATTTGACAAAACAGAGCAAGGTTAGAAAGTATTGGAATAGTTGGTTGTCTATAGAATATTGGAATAACTAGCTGAATAAAACATTAGTCTCGTTAGGGTAGTGTTACAATCTGGGTCCTTCTATTGTTACAGATCGTGCCATAAACCCCTCCGACAATTTCACAAATGTGTGATTTCTAAGATAAAGATAAGTTTATCATTTGCTTTCAGAAATAGTCTTTAAACTATATAAAAATGTGCAAATATAGTAGTAGTACTCTGTTTTTTCTTGTAAACACATTTTAAATTATTATAATATGAATTAAGATATGTATACTTAGGCATTTTATCTGAGGAACATAACGAATTTTAATAAAGAATGATCTTACTGAATTTCACTCTTTTAGATAGAGGTAGGTGAGTGGCTAAATAATAAAAACAAGCTGGGTAAAATTTTAGTGTAAAATAATCATCAGTATTATCCTGAGTGAAATACCACAAAGTCTGGAAGTCTCCCAAAGAAGCACAATTTAAAATTCAGCAAATAATTGTCCCATTTTAACCTCTATTGGACTGAAAACAAAACATAATTTCAAATATAATACTTGACTTATGAGGTTTTAAATTAACAGTCCTAAGAATCTTTAATTTAGAATATAAAAAATAACTTGAAAGAGTTGTCTCATCTTTTTTGTCTTTCATTTTATTCTCTTTGGCTCTTTATTTTATACATATATTTACTTGTGCACCCAAAATAATTTCTTCCATTTAATCTTACGTAATCATGTATTCCTAAAATTGCACTTCTTCTGGACCCTTTTGATTTCCTCAAGCAGATTTTGTAGATTTAGTAGGTGATTTTTCAGTAGAGTTTTATTCCTCTTTAAAAGTGTTAAAAATGCTAGGATTCACTCTGCTTCTTCTTTTTACCTCTTTCTCTTCTGGCTGGCTCTATATCAACAACATTATTTCAGATATTCAGTTTTTATGTTATTGACATATTTAATTTGTTATACACGCTTCTCTAGTACTGAGATTTTATCCTCAACACACTCCCTCTGCTTGTAACATTTTTATAACATTTGAAGATCACTTTTTCACTCATTCTCCCAAGTTTTATGGCGACGATGATCTTGTATTTTTCTTGTCTTCCCTTCTCAAGACCTTTAGGGATGGTCTCTAGAACTTGTTTTACTTATTTATTTTTTCAACTTCAATTCATTTTTAATATCTCATTATGTTTGATCATCAAAATCTTGTTCTACTTCTTAATATTTTTCACTGTTTTAAAATAAAAAGATTTCTGCTTAGCTTAAATCCTAGGCTCCCCTCTCCTAAATTTTGCATGGCATTCATAACAATACCTCAGACATTTTATTTGGCCTATATGTATTTTTTCCCTACTTTCATTATCTGATACCTATTTTTTCTGCCTCTTTGACTCTCCTCCCTTTAAAGTTGATTTCTTCTCCATTTCCAAATATATTCATGCTCTTCTCAACATCATTTCTGCCTGTAATTTCTTTTAAAATCTTAGCTCATTTGAAATTTCCCTATCGCATTAAAGAGTGAAATCAAGATAAATCCTAACAAAGTCCATCAAGGAGTACAAAAAAATAGCAGATTGTTCTCATGTGACTTGTATTTACGACAGTTGCTTAAACTGCAGCCTCCACAAGGCTTAAATGAGCATAAGTCAATAGTGGTTGAAATGCGATCCCAGTGTTTGTTTAGAGATGGTGTCCGAATTTATTCTTTGGCTGCTAAGACTATCTTTTCTTTCCGTGTGTGTGTGTGTGTGTGTAGCTATGTAGGTAAAGCTCATTTAAGGCTTTTAGAAAGTCAAAAGTCTTGAATAATAGGTATGGATAAAACTGAAAATTTGCCTTTGGCAAGACATATACATAATTGACTAAGAAAGATTTGGGCCTCCAAATCTTATGATTTATAATGTCTACTTCTTTAATTAAAATGCATATTCTCTCAACAAAGATATAATTCATCTTGAATTCCACAAGGTATTTCATTCAGTTTTAGTACCAATAAAAAGTTTCAGCAACAATATAGTAATTTAAACATGATAGAAGTCTTGTTCAATCTCTGAAGTGAATTTTCACAATGTTCGGTGTGTTTTCAAATAGTTAGGATGTAAACAGGCAGAAGTTTTAAGAACCTTTGAAAGACCTACTGGACTTTATGCGTCTTTATGAAAAGACAGTTTTAGAAATTGAAATGGTCACAGCTTGACTGCCTTGAATCAGTCACTTGAATCACTCACTTTATTAATTTTAATAGCACTAACTACCTGTTATAATGTACTTTTGAAAGATTACAGGTACCCTAATGAATTTAGATCATATAATTTTGACCCATTTACTGTGTTTTTCATTGAATTCTAAGTTTTAAATCATATAAAACCATTCTATAGCATTTTGGGACTATGGTAGCTTTTTGTGTTGCTTCTGCTTGGAAATTTTGGAAGAGAGATTGGTTATTTGTTATTTCTTCGCTATTTTCCCCCATTTATGAAATAAGAATATGAGACGGAAAATCTTACAAAATGTAAATGTAGAGTTATAATTTTCATAAGCAAATCAGATTTGAAATGTTAAATGTTTATTTTGTAGATTAAATTGGAATTTGTTGCGTAAAATAGTACATATGCATATGAACCAATACATGAATAGGTTACTATTTCTTTTCAGGTACTGCATGACATATTTATATGTAGTCCTATATTTGCATAAAGTAAGTTTCACTGTTTTAGAATGAACTTATAAAATGTAATAGTATATGCTCTGGAGTTAAATTTCGTCATATTGACCTAGATCCTTTTGATGTTATAATAACTTAACTTCTAATTATGATTAAAATGTTGATGTAACTTTACATGTAATCTGTGCATAACATACTAATACAATTCAGCTATCAGCAATGTCACATGTGTTGAACCCTCTGCGTCTGTGGTAACTTGACAATCACCTCCAAGACATGTAACTAACCTGCCCTGGCAAACATTAGCTCACAAAGGCACTGGGCTGCCTGTTCACTTTAGGGCATTATTTTGTTTCCGTAGCAACAAATCAGTGCAGAAACAGTTTTGAAGTGGTCCCTAGTGTCATCCAGTAGAGTTCACAATTAAGTTTTCTTGTCCTCATAGCATTATTGTCACCTTGATAATTTGAGGACTTTTAATCATTTTTGTTTAAAATTTCAAATTAAATCTACATCTGTGAAGAGGCGCTGAAGTTCTAGGCCTACAGTCATACTGTGTGTTCAGAAGTCACTTTATAAGTTTGCCACCGTTGCTGAGGAAACTCAATCCTGCTTGAGTTGAAGAATACTCAATTAACCCCGTGGCTTAGCTTTTTCTCTGATTTCTACAAAGTTGAGTTTGTAATAACTTTTGTTCCAAATTTATTTCACCTGAGTCATTGCCTTAGCATACTCCTCAACATTGAGATACATTGTTTCCATTATTTTTCAATTCTGTGAGAAACAAACAAACCAAATTACAAAACTTTAACAATCTGTCAGAGACATATCCTAGTATTTGGTTTCCCATAATTCCAATTATCACGTGACTCTTTCAGAGTTGCTTTAATTCACTCTGTAGTAGTCTTTCATTGCCAGCCATCACTAACCTTCATACCTTAGGTTGGTAGCTTTTTATTTGGGCATATCATTGTTTTCCATTTATAACCATCAATGGCATCATGTTCACCAGATATCAGTGTAGTTCTTTCCACATAAAATTCTGTCTATTGAAGTATTGAATTTGCCGTCACGCTTTTCTTTTAAGCATTCTGTGCTATGTTCTGTTCAGTGTCAGTGTCTTTAGTTCTGATTTTTCAATTTTGTCCCTCTCCTTTTCCTTGACTTGTTAGTCTGATCCAACCTCTTCTACCTCATCTGATGATTATCAATATGTTATGGAAGCTAAACTACAAGAAATGATCTCCATACGTAGGAAGGTAGTCCTACTGGACTTTACTTTCTATTGCTAACTAGAATCCATCTAAGTTTTTCTTTTCATTTATAAAAATTATGTTACTTTTATTTATTGATAATCAACCATCTGTGCAGTTCAGTGCTTCAGGAGCTTAAGATTGGACAATGGCAGGTTTGTGTTCAAACCATGCACAGTCTGCATGTTACATTTGGCTGATTTCATTGCTCATAAATAACTCCAATGTTTTGCTGATGCTTGGATGTAACAGGCCTTTGTAGCTGACACATTTCAAGCAATGCTGTTCAGCTGCCTGTTTAAAGAAAGTTTATTTTTTGAAAATTACATTTGCGGTTGGTAGTAGCTTGCTTTACATTTTATTTCAATTTATTAAGAGGAAAAGTGTTAACCAAGTGTTACATTTCAGGTACATTCTTCATCTTTCTTCACAGGCTGAAGAAAGACATGGGAACATTGAAGAACGTATGAGACATCTAGAAGGCCAACTTGAAGAGAAAAATCAAGAACTTCAAAGAGTATGTATATGAAGCACCCCCCCCCCAGTCATCATTTTGTGGAGTTACACTCTACATACAGGAAAGGAATATCTTTCTTGATTATGGGTTATATTTACAGTCTTATGGCTATGTCCTGTGCATTTTAAAGGAAAAAAATTTCTAACAATTTAATCAAGACAGACGTAAAATTAAATCCAATTTTAAAACTAAAAATCTTATAAAAACAAACTCAAATCGTCTTATAAATGAATTTTATGTCAAATTCATTCAATTTTTCTTGAATGTAAGGCCAGGCAAAGAGAGAAAATGAATGAGGAGCACAACAAAAGATTATCCGATACTGTGGACAGACTTCTGACTGAATCCAATGAACGCTTGCAGCTCCACTTAAAAGAAAGAATGGCAGCTCTGGAAGAGAAGGTAAATCTCACAAATGTTCAGCAATGTTCTAATGATCATGTTTGTTTTATATCCCGCTGTCATCACTGTATCAGTCAGATGATCCTTTTACTTTCTTTAATTTTAAGAAAAAGCCTGATACATTCTTAGAAGTGAATGAATAGTTTCTGTAAAAATGTGTAAGATCAACTTTTAAGTGAATAACATATGCTGCATGGTGGATAAATCTTGCATATTAGCATAATCGTATCAAAGAAATGTTTTAAAATGTGCTACACTTTTGTGATGAAAATGTTCCATTTATCCTTCTCATGGGATACAAAGTCAAGAGTGATAAGACAAAAAGAAATGTTTTAGGGGTGTGCAGGGATGTTTGCTTTGAATTATTCAAATATTTCAGGTTACTGCATCTATTAGTATGCTAATTACTACACTCGTAGTTTAATTTTACTCTATAAATTTGAAAAGAATGTACTATTTTAAATCACGCTTTGTAGTACTCTAAGAACAGTATAAAGCTTTTACAGCAGTCATACTTTTACGGCAATAATTTTTTAAAGTATCTGAAGCCACTTATTTCCATATGGTATGACATGTAACATTAGTTTTTTAAATAGCTAAAATTTCATTATTTCTCTAATAATTTAGCTATTATTAGAAATTATCAATTCCGTGTTTGAAATAGAAGTCCAGAAATAAAACTTTTAAAAAATATGATCTGATAATTTCTTCTTTCTTCAGATAATAAAAGTGAGTTCATCTGAATTCTTTATAACACTTCTAGTTAATATTTAGCTTGTCACTCACTTTTTCTTGTATGAAGAGTAACCTAATCATTTCCAACTTTAAAAAAGCTGAGAAGATGCAAACAAAAATAGCCTGAAAAATAATGTTTATTCCATTTATCTATCCAAGTGTTACAAAATAACTTTTCCTATGTAAATTATGTATTTCTCAAAATATTAATATGTCATGTTTAAAGATTCTGTTGAAATTTGTTTTCTATGGAAACCAAGAAATAGATGCACAAAGGGAGAAATCAGAGAAGATTCTTGAGTGATAAAAAATTAACCTATATACTTAATTATTTTCTATTTTCTTTATTAATTCTTCTTTTTTCTTTTATGTAGAATGTTTTAATTCAAGAATCAGAAACTTTTAGAAAGAATCTGGAAGAATCTTTACATGACAAGGTATTATGGGAACTTACATTTCGCCTATTTTTCTATTTCATAGGGTGAATGTTTTGTTGTAAAACAGACTTGATAATAAATAATTTCAGGATGTTATCCTTTTAAAACAATTTTAACTTTATATTATACATACAGAAAGCTTGATGAATTTTTACAAACCAAACAAATCAACCCTCTGGAAGCCCCCATCTTGTTCCCATACAATCACTACTCTTATCCTAAAGGATAACCACTGTTTTGACTTCTAACAGAAAAAAATTGGTTGTGACTTGTTTGAGGTTTATATAAATGGAATAAAAATGTACACGCTAATTTGTGTCTTGTTTTGAGATATTATTTTAGCAGAAATGTATTAAGTACCTTTTATGCAGAAGAATTATGCTAAGCTACATATTTGCAAACATGATCCTAGTTCCAAAGTAGCTGAAAAATCTAACTGAGGAGAGAGAACACACCTTTGACAGAGCACTGAGTCTCAGAGTAGCAGATGCCAAGTGTCAAATGTGTGACATAGACAGTAAGAGCTACATCATACATTGCTGCTATAAAGAAGGCTTCAAGGAAGTGGGACTTGACTAAAATTGTAAGAAAAGGAAGGACTGTGTTGCAATCCTTTCAAATACAGAGCATATGGCATGATCACAGATGCTTGGTCGGGGAGGGGGTGAGTAGTGAGTTTGGTATCTTTAATAATAATAGGCATAACAATTTGGCTGGAATCAGTTATTCCTGTTGCAGGATGCTTGGTAGAACAGGCAGATAAGGACTAAATTATGAAGTGTTAAAAACTGTAATTGCTAATACGTCTTTTCCTCTTTCATTAGCCTGTAAAATACTTGTTAGCAATTTTGTCTCATTTCATTTTGTTTAGCATAGGCAAATAAAATAATATAAAATTACTAACTTAAGAAATGGTCTATAAATGTGTGTTGAATAAATGATGGAAGGAATGGAAAGAGAGAAGGGAGAGGGAGTGTTAGAGAGAAGAAAGGAAGGAAGGAGGGGAGGGAGGGAGGGAGGAAGGAAGACCTGGCAAGAGTATGGCATATGGAAGGCATTGGAAAAGATGAAAGAATAAAGATTAAAAAGAACAATTGTACACTTAATCCTATAGAATGCTACATATTATGGTGTTAATTTATAAATAGCTATTTGGTCCTGCAATCAGGTTGTACACAGTCTTCCAAAAGTTAGATCTTCTAGAGCAGTTCAATATGGCACCTAGAAGATAGCATCTAATTCTTTCTGAAGCAGTTCAGAAAGTCTACATGAGGGAGATGACATTTCATCAGGCTCTTGAAGGCACATATGATCTTAACAAAAAGAAAAGAGTAGGGAAGAGGCCAGAGCATATGCATAGTGCAGAGAAAGCACAAATGATTGATATGCTGAATCACCAGAAGTTTGCTGTGACTCATATATGTTTAAAGAACTAGGTTGTGACCAGATTGTGAATTTTGGACTTGATCTCATTGTGCAATGTTATGTCATCCAAAGCTCTGTGTACTCCTGGCAAGATCCCCAGAACCCACTCCCCTGCCACCTACCCCAGCCTTGTAGCTTCAACAATCTGCCTAAGCAACCAACAGTGCTAATCATTCTGTGCTTTGCATCCTGGTTCACGTCAATTGCTAGAGGAAGCAACTGCAGGTCATACATCATTTTTGAATATCATCCCCTACAGCTGAACACATTTTCTAGTCTAACCATATCTCTTATAAATCCTCAAATTTCTACTCAATTATATATAATTAACAATCCATTGTTAGCATAAGCCACTGTGTACTCAATCTCTTCTCTCAATGTTACTCTTCAGCATCTTGATCCCTAAAATTTGAAGTTCCTAAGATTGTCCTTGGATTTCTTCTCTATGTTCAGTCCCTGGTCGTCTCCTCTGATCTTATGGATTTAAATACCATCTATAAGTTGAGCACTTCCAATTTAGATCACCTACTGGATCCTCTCCTCTGAGGGAGTTTGTGTATTCAAGAGCCAACTCAATATCTCCATTTGCACGTGTAGGCATCTCAAACTTAACAAGTCAATCTCCTGCCTGCCCCCAAAACACCACCACCTAACCTAACCACCATTGATAGTAGTCTTCTCAGTAAATCACACCTTCTTTACTTTGACTTAGTTACTCCTGTTAAAAACCTTGGAGTTATCCTTGATCCCTTTCTTTATCTCACACCCCACAACCAGTCCAACAGAAAATTCTATTTCTTCTATCTTCAAAATATAACCAAAATCCAACCATTCTCTCCCAACACCATTGTTGTCCAAGCCATAATTCTCTTGCTGGTTTTTTTTAAAGAACAGTAATAATTTTATTTCTTCCCCACCTCCCAATCCCATTCAACAGTCAGTTTCACAGTCATCAGAATGATCATGTCACCTCTCTGCTCAAAAATCCTCCAGTCATTTCCTATCTCACTCAGAGTAAAAGCCAAAGACTTTTTAAAATGGCTTATAAGACCTTTCAAGGCTGCCCTTCCAAAAACCTGCAACCATACTTTTCTCAGTCTTTTTCCTGTCTTCCTTCTTAACCTCTCCAGTCTAGCCACACTGACCTTCTTGCCCTCTGCTGCACCAAATAGACTCCCACTAAGGAGCATTTGCACCTGCTCTTTCTCCTATCTGCCATACCTTTTCCTAAGACATTCCCATCTGTTTAACTCCCTCCTTCTCTTTAGGTCTTTGCTCAAATATCGCTTTATTGGAGAGCCCTTCCATGAGTGTCCTATTTTCTCCTTCCTACCAACATTCTATGGACCCTATTTATTTATTGTCTTTTCTACTAGATTGTAAATTATATGAGTGCAGAGAACTCTATCTTAGGGCCTAGCGCACCAGAGGTGCTCAGTGGATATTTGTGGAAATAACAAATTAATTAATAAATACTATAAGAAATTGGTGAATATTTTTAAGCAAAGAATTCATTTGATCATACATACATTTAAAAAATGATACTTGTAGCAAAAGCATGTGTGTAGAAGAGATGGAAGGAAGCGCCACCTCTGAGGAAGCTGGTAAAATTATTCGGGAGAAAGGTAAAAAGCATGTAGAGTAGGATGGTAGTAGTAAGAATAAAAAGGGCAAATAAGAGAAAAATCCAAAGGCCACACTGAAAAAAACACATGGTGAGCGAAGTAAGTCAAGTAAAATGTGAAGCATTGGCCACTAGGAGGGGGAAAATAGCAATAGAAAATCTAGAAGGACACTGTAGACATTTATAACAATATAAAAGTTATAATCATGAAAATAAAATTAAGTGCTTACGTGAGCACTTAATTAAGGCCTCTAAGACAACTCCTATCTTGATAAATTTACAGATCAAACTGATAGTACCAATCTGAAAAAAATCATCAGATACACAAATACTTGTACCGCTATCAAGCTAATAATTTTAACTCATATTAGGTTGTTTACTTTGTGTCGGTAACATTTTTTCTTGTCATCCTTTTAATCCAGTCTTCTTTCTCCTTCACTTGTATGTCCTTCAACCCTCACAAAATAGTGGAAATCCTTCACTTACTGCATAAATAAGAACTTTTCTTTATTTTTAAATTAGCTATGGTTTCTACTTTGCATTTTAAAGTAATGTATACATAGCTGGCCATGACCTTAATATTCCTATATGTTTGCAAAAATTTAGAATTAGTGAATGTCAGGTAATATAGATAAATTTTTATTGATTTCTGCTGTTCACATTTTCTAATCTTTCATAAAAATATATCCATCAGTTTTCTATTTTTAAAAAGCCATTAAGCTTCATAGCTTGGTTTATCATAATTGAGTGTTGGTATTATTGGCATATGCATATCATCTGAATAACACTTCTTTGATTTTTAGGAAAGGTTAGCAGAAGAAATTGAAAAGCTGAGATCTGAACTTGACCAACTGAAAATGAGAACTGGCTCTTTAATTGAACCAACAATATCAAGGTAACATTAACTTAAAAGCTTATCTATATTTCACTAAAGATCAATATGAACTTCCGTATGGTTTCACATCTCCTCAAATAAAATAAATAAATACCTCCTATTGCTCAGCAGTTATTGCCCTATTTTGATTCCCTACCACCGATTTACAGTTTTTACACTCAAAAATAATTCTCTAATTTAGAAATCCTTTCTGCTGATATGCAATAAAAATTTAAATTATTACCTTTTATATTTTACATTTAATTATATAGATAGAAATACATAAAAGATTCTCAAATGAAGAAATGGAACTGTGCATAAGGAGATTCCATCTCATTCCAGGAAGGGGCATTGTTCCTTTTATCTGTATGCAGAAATGTTTTCAACGCTTAACGCTAGTGAAGAAATATCATTGACTATGGTCACTTAGCATCTGGCTATTTTGTTAAAGTAATTGAAGATAAAGAGGGAGGGAGAAATTACACATGGTAAAAAAAAAAATTCAAATAAATTTAGCCGTACTCATCTACTTTTACTCAATAGCTTATCTTAAAAGAAAGAAGCAATGAGAAGATTGTTTACTCGACAGACAGACAGATTGATCTATCTCAATAAGTCACGTATCATTTTCTTTTGTGCTTAAGGCCTTTTCTTTAAAGTTGATAAGAAACCCTAGATGAATTTACTCATTTGATCATTTATTTAGTAGATAACACAACAATATCAGCTATTTGAAACTTATGACCACCACAGAATTCTATAAGTCAATTTTTCTTGGTCTTATGCTTATCCTAAGAATATTAGCTCCACAACAGCTGGAATTTTTATCTGCTTTGATTACTACACTCAGGACCTAAAGTTAGAAAAAGAAAATAAACCCGGTATGTAGTATGCGCTCAACAGATATTGTTGAATGAATTAATATCTAGTAAAGCATTTTTCAGATACTCAAATGAAAAATCAAAATTAAAAAAAGAAATCCTAAAGGTGCTTATATTCTCTTCAATATAGGTATTAATAAAAGCAAAATTCAGTATTTTGAGTATTTCTACCTTCAGTTTAGTATAATAAACACAGTTCTGTAGGCATAAAAACACCCAAAGAACTTTGAAATATGTAGGTCTTTAATTTGGAAAATTATGTTTATTTTTCTAAATGTTTTATTATGATTTATTTATCTGAGCTGAAATGATTAATTCAGTGATATACTTTCACATGGTGATGATGATGCTGAAGAAGGAGGAGAAAAATAGCTGACAAAATATCAACACGGTAAACAAGCAGAATGAGCATTATCCAATCAACAAAATAAATGCATTTTTACAGGACAAATGGCCACTTCGTTGTCTTTTTGACCCTTGGTCTCAGAAATGCAGAGTCATAGAAGTGTTGTCTAAACGCTCGTCACTGCAGTGAGTCATCACAGGCAGCCTAAGGATGCAAAATTTATCCACAATGGAGGATCCTCAGGGAAGCTTGGGAACCACATACAGAAAAATTGTAGTAGAAACTACATACGGTAGATTGTAGTAGAAACAACGCTAGACCAAGAATAAGAAAACTGATGTTCCTAGGTCTCAGACACACAATTGTTAGTTGTTTGATTTTAGAAAATCCATTTTTCTTTAATAAGTTCAAATTCTATGTATATTTTTACATGAATTATATAAAAAATGATATTTTATGAGTATCGCACAAGTTTGCTTTGCAAATAAAATGCAGCAACTGAGCAAAGGGGGTTTTGAAAACAGTAAATCACATCTTAAGTATAAAGTATTATAGGAATTATTAAGATCACTAAACCAATGGAATTTGTAATAGGTTACAGAATAACTGAATATTTATCAAACATCAATTATTTATTGAACATCCATGCTTCTGAGCGCACATAATTAAAAAAGAAACAATAAAGAAAACAGAAGGTGCATGAGAACTTCATCTATTAGTTTTTGATCTTACAGGTGGGGAGGTGGGAAAGAGCTAAAGTTAATGAATGTCACTGCTAGTGGTAATAACTAATATGCTCCACTAGTACCTCATCTGAGAAGAAAGTAAAATGAGTTCCAGAGTGGCTGGAGAAGGCCTGATTTGGTTCAACTCTGAAGAAAGGGTAGGATCTGGATAATTGAAAAGGACAATGGAAGACATTCCGAGAAGCAGGGGGATGGGTAACAGGTTTTCTCTAAGAAAATTCACGCTCAATTTATCTATGGAAATTCTTTTGCAAGATTATATTCAAGAGTTACAGGAGAGTCAGGAGGGGAAAGTACATGGTTCCTTGTGTAAAGGAACCTGTGACTGTGTTGTCACTTAAACTTTCAGTGCCTCCCAAAATACTGTACACCAAAAATAATTTAAAAATTGAAATATACGGAAATATTGCCTCTGATTTCTCCTGCTAGAGAATCAGCTCACAGAGTTGAATAAAAGGAAAGAGATGAGCAGTGACTGCTCTAGATGAAGTATAAGCAATGGGCTCTTCTACCATTGGTGTTTGCTTAGGTCTTTTGTTCTTTCAAGATCAATTAAGCACTTTCTACCTGCCAGACATGGCAGGATTGGAGATAGAATGGTGATGGTGACGAATACGTGTTCCAGATGGAAAACACAGGAATACTAGTGTGAGGACTATTTTAATAGAAAGAATACTGGGAGCTAGAATATTACATGACAATGGGACTTTTAAGCTGGGACTTTAAGAGTGCTAACCATACAAATGTGTGAAGAGACTGTTTCCAGCAAAAAGAACAAGTTTAAAGACTCAGAAGTGAAAGAAAGTGTGTCACTGATAGAGTTGAAAGTCAGTGCAGCTGGATGGAGAGAGTAAGGCAAAGAGTAACTAGAAGTAAAGCTGCAGAGGAGATGGAGCCCAGATTGTAGAGGGCCGTGTGAAGACATCCAGGAGTTTTCAGCAGGACATCCATGGGACCAGAGCTGTGTTTTGTTTCATGTTTTTATACGTGACCTGGAGTTAAGAGATAAAGCAACAAGGAAACAGCTTTCCTGGGATGATGAATTGTAATGTTAGAAACTCCGCTTTGATGCCCAGAGAGACATTACCCTAAGCAGCCGCAGATAAAAGGTACCTAGAATGTTCTGAGCTAGATAGTTCAGACTGTATTATAATCAGTTTCATTCATTCATTATCTTGCCACATATTTATCAAGTGCTACTATATGTGAGGCATACCTCCTTGAGTATACAGTGGCGATTAAAATCTGATCTTTGTCTTCATGAAACTTATACCCTCTGACAAATAGATGAAGACTGAAAGTTGTGCCTCTTGTTTATGAGTATGGCCTGGTTGGTTAGTTTTTACATATGACTAATCCACAATAAAGCCAGTTTGCTTAAGTCTCAAGTGCAGTGCTATAACAACAATAGCTGTCATGTATTTGGTGGATGATTCCTTAGTTCTTTTGCTTTAACATCCTATTTGGCAAAACAAGGACTTTCATCAATCAGGTCAGTGTCTTCTGCTGTTGCAAAAACACAGATCTTACCTATCCTTTTGTAAACTTGCCAAATATTTAGAAATGTTTGTTTTCGTTCACAAAGAGAACTAAGGGAGGAAGCATCAGCAGGGGCCCCCAGTACAAGAGAAAATATAGCTTTAAGCGTATTTCCTACTGATGATGGATCATTTTATAGGACAGCATGTCGTCCTTGTTATTATCATTATTGGAACAATAAACTGCATTTGCTGTAAATCTATATAGTATCTAAATGATGTGCCTGGAGAAGCCTTTACTGCACTTTGACTACACTGTGCTTCATTATCATGTTTATTGAAAGCCAGTGTGATGATATTTTCCAATTGGAATTTTCCAACTGTTTCATCTCTAAGCAGATTTCAGAATCAAATGTGCTCATCAAAGATTTTTCTTTATCTTTTTGGAACAATGTCTTATCAAAAGCTGAAAAATTGTTCTGGTGGTATTGCTATTTTATGAAAAAAATGATATTATTAACCTTAGGTTAATCTGATTTTAAGCATTTTGTTGATTTCCTAAATTGAAAAATAGAACGTTGAAAAACAAATAATTCTGGGACCCCAAAGGTTTATCCATTTTTCTCTTAGATTAATAGGAATACTTAAAACAAGTATGGTAATAAATACCAAATATTGGATATCCACTACACAGCTCAAACTAAATAGAATTGCTAGAATTTAAGCCAAAGGATCTCGGTTATCAATCTTAACATGTCTCATTGTATTACCATATTTGAAAATGATGAGTAAAGAACAGAAAGACTTTTTATATACAAAAAACAGAAAATACAATTTGACCTTCAGGAATGGAGCTGAGACTAGAATTTCTGACATGCAACCCTGAAGAGACCTCAAAAGAGTCATGGCAATTCACCAGTTTTCTTCCTTGAGGTTTATTTCCTTGAAAGTTTATGTTTTTTTGTCAATTAAGTTATGGATAGCGATTTGCTGGTAAGCTTAATTTTTGAGATTGGGTATATGTCATGTTCTTCCTTCTTCCCAGAACTCATCTGGACACCTCAGCTGAGTTGCGGTATTCGGTTGGATCCCTAGTGGACAGCCAGTCTGACTACAGAACAACTAAAGTGATAAGAAGACCAAGGAGAGGCCGCATGGGTGTGCGAAGAGATGAGCCAAAGGTTAAACTTTTTATTTGAAGTCTTGATGGTTTTGAGTAAATACACTATTCCATTTTGGATATAATTTTAATACTAAGAGAATTCATAATTCTAGCATTTTCATTAGTTTCAAGTGTGACATATGTCATATTTTTAAAACTATAAAACTAACATAAAGTCCCTACTGTGTGCCAGAAGTTGAACTAAGCATTTCCTATGTATTTATCCACATAACTCTATGAATTTGGTACTGTTTTTATACTAATTTCAGATATAAAAAAAATTGAAGCTAAGAAATTTTAAGTGTTCAGCATTACACAGCCAGCAATGTTATAAGAGTCAAAACTTAAGCCTGTATTTGTGGGATTTCAAATCCCATGCTTTTGTCCATTATGCTATATTGCCAAACGAATGGATTTTTCATTTGCTTGGGCACTTAAGTAATGGCATTCATCTTGTTAATTAAAAGCAATTAAATATTTTAATTATAATTACTACTTTAAAAGCAATTTGAGGAAAATGTACATAGATTATTGAAAGTGTTTGTGGAGACCTGTTCGTGATAAACTGCACTGTCAGCCTTTCATTCAGTCAATAACTTAAAATTTGTAAGCTATGCATGTTGAGTAAGTATATAGCTGCATTTTATGGAGAATTAATATATTTCCTTTGTGCCATAAGTGTAGTTTCTTCTCCCCAACCACTTGTATGTGTCAGAAATACTACATAACTTACTTGTCCTTATTTGTACACAGGCTCTTGACATCCTTTTGTTTTTAAATGACACCTATGTGTCATGTACAAATTAATCCCTCATAGTAGGCATTCAATATCCCTTGAGAGGGTAAATAAATAAACAAATGAAGAATAGATTAAGTCCATCTCAGTTCTTTTCTCATTTTTATGTGACAAATATGTTAGTGCTCCTTGGCACCAAAATAATTAGTAACACAAATGCTAATTCAGGTCCTCAAATCTTAAGTAAATCATCAAGGCAATATCATGTGGTCCCTCCAAAAGTCGTTTTATATTATCATGAAAATGAAAACCAACTTTTTAAAGAGCAGAAAACTCTAGGACGTCTCTCTTACTCCCAACCCTCTCGTACGTTCCGATCACAGATTGAAAAATACTGGTCTATTGGTTACTCAAGACTCATTCACATGGAGGACTTAATCAGTTAAAAAAACATAGCCATGTAAAATAGTATGCCTTGGGCTTAAAAAGTCAATGAGGCATTTAAGTGACCAGAGCACTGGAGATGAAATTAAATTACTTTGCAATATTTTTAATAATAATTTATTAGAGTCTGTGTAAGTGAATGTTGAGAGAATTCCTGTGTAATGTGTTGTGTGGTAATATTTGTAGTCTCAGCCTCTAATAAGAAACTGTAAGTAAGACTAATTAGTATAAGAAATGGGAATGCTTGAATACACGTGAATAGAGATTGTTACATTTGGAAACGGGAAAATATTGCAAACATAAATGCTTTAAAGTGATTGTTACCTTGAATTGAGGTTGAACTAGAAATCATGCAGAAGTTTATGATCTTTATTCCTATTAAAATGTTGATATTTATGCTGACAATTAATACACGCCATTACATAAGATGTCAAGGAAGTATTTTATTGAACCAATAAATTAAAATGTTAATAATCAGTTCTGCTTTTGCCAGGTAAGCTATAAAAGCATGTTGCTTTTTGGTTGCTGTTTCTCAGAATAGTGCTTTGAAAATGAGTAATGTGATAAATACTATAATTGTTCTTTGACAATCCAGGTGAAATCTCTTGGGGATCATGAGTGGAACAGAACTCAACAAATTGGAGTGCTAAGCAGCCACCCTTTTGAAAGTGACACAGAAATGTCTGATATTGATGATGATGACAGGGAAACAATTTTTAGCTCAATGGATCTTCTCTCTCCAAGTGGTCATTCTGATGCCCAGACTCTAGCCATGATGCTTCAGGAACAACTGGATGCCATCAACAAAGAAATCAGGTGAGTTCAATTATTACTGATGGTTTCAAGGGATTAGAAGACTTTTGTTTTTTTTTAGTTATGACCTGGGCTCTCTTTCTCTCTTGTTTTTTGGGGGTATTTTTACTGAGCTAACACCTGTTGCCAGTCTTCCTCTATTTTGTATGTGGTTTGACACCACAGTGTGGCTTGATGAGTGGTGTGGATCCACACCCAGGATCTGAACCCATGAACCTGGGCTGCCAAAGTGGAGCGTGCCAAACTTAACCACTGCACCACCAGGCCAGCCCTGGGATTAGAAGAATTTAATACTAAAATTGCGATCATCAGATCAGAAGTATTAGCATCACCTGGGAGCTTGTTAGAAGTGCCGAATGTCAGACCTGACCCCATATCTCTTGAATTAGAATGTGCATTTTCACAACATTCCTAGGATATTTGTATATGTCCCCTATAAAATTAGGACAGCCTTTGTAAGGGACCTACATGAAACATATACAGACTAATGATGTTATGGTATATAAAAGAATGAGGTATATAAATTAATTTTTACTGAATTATTTCAGCCTGGATATGAAAAAATGTACTATCACCATACAGCCGATGATAGATGATTTCCAAAGAGTAGATAATATCATAAAGTTGAAATTGTACAAGTTAACGTTTCAGACCCCAGTGAAGGACCCAACTGTGTCAGGTGGATTTGTTTTCTTTTGACCATCAGGAAACTAAACTTAACTTGTTTTTTCAATTAATAAACAGTCTTTTACTATTTTGAACAATGCTTTTATTTGCTCTTTCTGGGTGTAGCTAAATCTGTTGGCCTCCTAATGTGATTCAGATCTACCTAGTTCTCTACCGTCATCCCCCTATCGCACATTGTAATAGTTTCTCATCTGGAAAACGATAGTAGTTTCTGTCTGGTTTCTTTATATTGTTTGGGTTCCTGATCTAATCCAGACTAACACTGCAGCCAGAACAGACTTTTTAAATCCCAAATGTGTGTATGCAATTTCCCATTTTTAAACCCTTCGATTGCTCTTAAGATAAAGATCAAAATCCTTCATATGGTCTGCAATGCCCCACCTGCCTCAGCATCCTCTTGGCATTCACCTGTCCAACCCCATATCCTTTTATACATGACTTTCAGTTCTTTGAATGTCCCCTTGCTCTCTCCTTTATTGATATTCCTTACTTCTGGAACATTCTCCTCAACACAGCATTCTACCCGAACACATCACCAACTTTACTCTTAACTCGTCATGAACAGCTCCACCCTCACTTCTGTTCTTCAGTTCACTGTACTGTCCTTAAGTTCTTTACCTTTCCTAGACTATAAGTTATATAAGAGCAAAAAATATATCTGCTCACTGTTTTATTTCCAGGTCTTAGCACTTTGCTTGATAACTAGAAAGTGCTTCATAAATATTTCATTACCATAAATAGAAAAAAATATAGAGAACATGAATTCAAACTGAATAACATTTTCCGATGTTGTGCAGCTAATGGCTGAACTCACTGAACAGATTTGAAATCAAGTATATATCCTTGTGATATTTGCTTTCACCAAAAGTATATACACACACCCTCAATAACAACCTATGTCTCTCCAGGGACTCTTCGGTTTGTTACATTAGAGTAGAAATTACCAGTAACAATCTCGCTGTAGATGAATTAAGTTGATACCCACATAACATGTTCAAACTACTGTCCTTCAATATGTTTCCTCATTGTCCTCCATAATGTAGGTTAATATAGTTGCTGATTTGTAAGAAATATATAAAATTAAAATACATAGCAATATTCAAAAGAAGTAGGCACCTTGATAAAAACTGTGGTGAGCTGCTAGCACCAACCAGAGTTTATCTCTAGTTAAGACTTTTCTTCTTTCACGAACTAACTTAGCCATTTAAAAATAGCTTTTTCTGGCTTCTTTACAGTTCACTGACTCTCTTAAAGGGAGAGATCAAGCGACTTCAAACCCATTTGCCACTGCAACGTTCATTACTGTTCGTCTACAGTTGCTGTTATTTAGCCCGCTTTACTTCTGTAGTCTTCTTTATTCTTTCTTCCTTCTGTTTGATTCCGATGGGAATCCCTCCCCAACACACTGGGACCTTCTGAAGGGAATCTATTTCATTGCTATTTTCTTTGCTTTCCATATTAACATCAGGATTTGAAAGATCAATGGATTGTGGTGTATTTTTCCAAATAAACTGAACATCTAGGTAGCACTGGTTTTCCTTTTTGATTAAACCTCCACCTACCTCCTACTCAACTTGTCCCTTTAGGTTAGACTCTCCTTTACAATTACTGGAATACCTGGAGGTTATAATTAAAATTTCCTTGTACAGCAGAACCGTATTGCCTCTCACTGGAAGATTTTTCTGAAAGAATAATTTTCTACCAAGCATTTTAATAGTACAAAATTCCTTTTTTTTTTTTTTTGGAGGAAAGATGCTGTTTTTTCATTGGAATGTGTTTAAAGCATTAATGATGTTGTACTATATTATTTGATTAAGGCTTCCTTTGGGATTCTGGTTTTTGGGTAAAGTTAATATGCACACATGGGGGCCGGCCCTCTGGCCGAGTGGTTAAGTTTGTGCACTCTGCTTCAGGGGCCCAGGGTTTCATGGGTTCGGATCCTGGGTGCAGACCTGGCACTGCTCATCAGGCCATGCTGCGGCGGCATGCTGCATGCAACAATTAGAAGTACCTACAGCTAAAATATACAACTATATATTGGGGGGATTTGGGGAGAAGAAGGAAAAATAAGAAAGAAAGAAATAAAACCTTTAGAAAAATTTTTTTAATTGATAAAAAAATAAAATGCACCCATGAAAATAAACTTCAAAGTAACAGAATTCGTATTCTTTGTGTATGTGAAAAATTATAATTAAGAGTAAATGTGCCTCATTATTTTTATTGACTTTTTCTTTATAGCAGTTTAGAGCAGTTCACAGCAAAATTGAGGGGAAGTTACAGAGAGTTTCTGTATACCCTGGCTGCACACATGCATAGCTTCTCCCTTTAGCAAAGTCTTCCACCACAGTGGTACATTTGTTACAATTGATGAACCTATACTGACGCATCATAATCACCCAAAGTCCATAGTTTACATTAAGGTTTACTCTTGGTGTTATACGTATTATGTGGGCTTGGAAAATTGTATAATGACATGTACCCATCATTATGGTATCATGCAGAATATTTTTTACTGTCCTAAAAATCCACTGTTCTCTGCCTATTCATTGCTCTTCCCCTCCCAACACCTGGCATCTACTGACCTGGTTACTGTCTTTACAGTTTTGCCTTTTCTGGTGTGTCATATAGTCGGAATCTTTTCATATTGGCTTCTTTCATTTAGTCATATGCATTTAATGTTCCTCCATGTCTTTTCATGGCTTGATAGCTCACTTCTTTTTAGTACTGAATAATATTCCATTGTCCAGATATATCACAGTTTATTTATCCATTCGCCTACTGAAGGGCCTCTTGGTTGCTTCCAAGTTTTTGTAATTATGGGTAAAGCTGGTATAAACATCTGTGTGCAGATTTTTGCATGGACATAAGTTTTCAACTCCTTTGGATAAATAACAAGGAGCACGATTACTGTATCATATGATAAGACTGTTAAGTTTTGTAAGAAACCGCCAAAGTCTTCCAAAGTGAATGCATAAAAAGAAAACAGCAGTGATCATAACTTTGAAGTTAAGGCTTATACATCATAGGAGATCACAGTAAGCCATTTGGAGTTAAGAGGGAAATATCCCAGAAGAGGTTTCTGACCCCTTTTTTCAAACAAACTGTGTTAGTACACAGTTTCATTATAACAATATGGAAAATGTGTGTAGATTCAACTTAAATAGAAGCTTCACACAACCAGGCGAAAGTTCTTTATTCTTTGTGTCTTTGTAATAACTAACTTTACATATTCTTGAAGCTTCTCTTTATTTAAAGAAAAAGAGTAATGTCTAGTGTTTTGTCTTCTCAAAAGCATTTATAACAACAATTTTTTAAAAATTTTTTTCGTTATCTGTCTTTCCAGTTAGCTAGCTATCTCCACATTATTAAATTGCCTGGTGCTTGTTTAAAAGCACCTTGGCTGAGTAGATATTAATGTAAAAAAAGACTCAGGGTTTTATTTAGCCAAATGATAATTATAAATGATAATTTATTGAAGAGTCTATCTATTATAACTTTTTCATTGGAAAGGAAGTAGGATTCAATAACATTGTTGGAATCTGAGTTTCTAAATTTCTCACTCATTGACACCTGAGTTCAAATGTAAGATTAGAATTAATGGCAAAATTAATTAGGCAGGCAAGTTTTCAAGAGTTTCATAGAGTTTCAAGAGTGGCATAATATAGAAAGAAGGTCAAAGGTCAAACTAAAAGTAAAGAGGAATTATATATCATTTCAAAAAACGGATATTCTAAATTTCAGCAAGAAAGTCCGGGAATTTATTGAAAATTATATTGCCTAGAAAAAAAAGATGAAAATATTAGATTTGATATAAAATGTTCACAAAGTAGTTTTTTATTGATTCCAGTTACCATTAGAGCATCATATAATGGGTCAAAATTAAACTGTACCTTTCAGGCTAATTCAGGAAGAAAAAGAATCTACAGAGTTACGTGCTGAAGAAATTGAGAATAGAGTGGCTAGTGTGAGCCTGGAAGGCCTGAATTTGGCGAGGGTCCACCCAGGTACCTCCATCACTGCCTCAGTTACGGCTTCTTCACTGGCCAGTTCATCTCCCCCAAGTGGACACTCAACGCCAAAGCTCACCCCGCGAAGTCCTGCCAGGGAAATGGATCGGATGGGAGTCATGACACTGGTATGATGATGTGTCCAGAGAACCCTCACCTCCTTTAGGAGTAATGATGCAATAACTGAAACTTATTTGGTGTTTATTCTAGTCTAAGGACTTCCTGTGTGTTTTATTGTTTCTTTTTCTTTTTCTTTTACAACATCTCTAAGTGATAGGTGTAATTATTAATTCTACTATGAGATGAGGAAATGTAGTCTACATAAGTGTAACTTTCCCACGGTCCCATAATAAGTCAATGGAAGAGCAGGAATTTAAATATCACATCGGAAATCTGAATAACTCAAACTATTAAGTACACTGATGATATCTTGGTGAACTAAATTAGGGCTAGGTGGGTTTTTTTGACACACTAAATTACAAAAATTATTTAATTGTTTCAATACACCAACATAGAATGTTCTAATTTTATAATATAATATAATTTTAATAAGAAGAGCCATTAAAAACAACAGCAGCAATTTCCCAATTTTTAGATTTCCATGTCAATATTCTCACCCTTCTTTATTCTTTATTTATTTATCTTCATATTTAACATTAAAAGTTGGAAACCTAAAGTAGGAAGTACCTTGAACATAAGTCAGAGAAAATAAAAGTATTCTGCTAAAAATAATACAGGAAAACCTCTGGAAAATATGGTTGAAATGAATGCTGAATGCCATGGTGTTTAGTCATTTAATTCTCATTATGACATTTGGAAGTCAAAGGGCATTATCATAATAGAGTAGAGGTAACTGAGCCTTTGAGAGTAGGAGTAAGTGGCCCGTGCTCAACACAGCTAGTAAGTGGAGCTGGGTTTTTCTTCAAATTTGCTAACTCAAAAGCATGTCCTATTCTGTCTTTTTTTCTTGTGATTACCTGGAAATGTGTTGAAATAACAACAATAATGAAGATTTAAATATTCTGTACTGTAAAATTCTATGTTTTTGTAGTGAATATTAAAACTATATTATTAAAACAATAAAGTTCCAATTAAAAATAAAAGTTTGGGAACAGAGATTAATTAAAATTCAAATAGGCCACATAATAGTTTATATACTGTCAAGTCTAGTACATATACAAGAAAAGGAGGAGATATTAATGATACTACAGAAGAACATGAAATATAGAGAGAGTTTCTGGTCAGAAGATTGTGAAGCTACCATAAAAAGTGTTACAATGTCTGTATCTGTGCATGTGTGTGTGTGTGTGTGACATCTGAACAACAAAGTTTAATTTATTTTCTGTGTCATCTTTAAATAAATATGTTGCAAAAATGTGTATTGTGGCTAATAACTTATAACAATTATGTATATTAGAATTAATTATATAAATGCACATATATGTGCATACTCTTACCTCTAGGGGAAAACTACCTTATAAATAATTTTATTTTTATCTTCACAAAACTTGTTATGTATATAGATTTAGGTATCTTTTTCTTTAATTTTGCAGTTGAGAATTGAAACAGGAAACTTTTTACATGGCGAAGCAACATTTCTCATATTCAAACTCTTTACAATTATAAGACTTCTATGCAATAAAGTCTGCATAAAAGAGAAATGGTGAAATTAAAAATATAAAAGAAAGGTTTACCTCCTTAAGCCATTGAGTCCTCTATTCTGTGCTCATTCTAGACTTGATGTTAAAGATATTTTTGAAATAGACAGCACAGATGATGGCCAGTCAAAACAAAGGCCAGCTCATCAGAACTGACCCCACCCAGGCACAGGACAGCTTTTAGCCAACGTGCTCAGATACGCTAGCCCAGTATACTGAGCTACATTATGATCTTGTTTTAGAAATCTAGGAACACACATCTGATTTTATTAACTAAAAATATTATCTCTGGCTTAGTTTCTGCATAAATAATGTATGCTGCGTATATTGATGACCTACTTATTATCAAAGGCTACAGTATGAATCTTGGCCCACAGAGCATAATTTAGTCAGCATTCAGGGCAAACAAACTTTGGTTATTTCTGTACTGCTATTATTTCCTTACATTTTACAACAGAGTATTTTTCCCTTTTAAGTATTTTCATAAACATTGGCATCACAATCCTTGACAGAGTTATTATTTGTTGACAGTGTTATTATTTTTGTAATAATAAAATAACATGTATATAATCATTTAGAAGTGATGTTTGCGTACATGTGAAAAGGATACCACTGCTTTCATGCATTTTCTTGAACAGTTAGTCATGAATAAATCAGTGGTCAATGAATTTTATTACACTATAATTAGAGTACTTAAAAAATATTTAGGAATTTTCCTGAGGGTGAAAAAGTCTTTAGAATGTTTAATATCTGACTCATAAAAACAAGAAATGAAATCCAGGAAGTTCTTATCACCAAATAAAACTTTATCATCAAATTCTTGTACTTGTAGAAGATATTGGAGGAAAAATAATTTTGCCAAATATAATTTATGTTTTAATATTCAGAGAATAATTAGAAATTTTAGGAGCAGAAAAGCTGAGATTGAAAAAGTATTGTATTCATTTGTATTGTATATGTTCATATGTTTTGCCAACATTGTTATTTGTCCTGATAATAAAGAGTACTTGTATTTATTTTACCTTATTACAAATCCATAAGCATGAATAACATGATGGTGATATCTAATTGGAATATTGAATGGAGTAAATCAACCCATTTTCCAATAGCAACAAAAATGTAAAGTAGAATACTTTAAGAAAAATTGTTTTACTTATATAAGGAAAATTAGCAAAGATACTAAGTGAATAAGGTTCGTCTGAAATCATAAAGAATTAACTATTTTTTTTTAATTCTGTAGAAAAGCATTGACAAGAAAACAGTAGTCACAGAAACACATAATACCGAGGCCAGAGCTTTCGGTATTTGAGAATGAGGGGGTTGTTAGGATGCCAGGAAGTTTGAGATCCCTCAGGAACAGCGTACCTGCCCAAAGGAGGCCCAAGGCTCTGCATAGACTGGGCAAAAAGGACTGTAATAAACTCCATATAAGATCCATTGAATCTTCATTTATACACAATCTTCTTCATTCCCATCTATATTTTCTTAGGAGGATATAGTCCAGTATTTATTTCTGGCCTGCTCACTCCAAATGCGCTTTATATTCCCTACGGCCCATGGCTCATATCTCATGCACATACACATGACCCCATCATGAAGGCATGCCCCATCCATACCGTCTAGGAAGTCCCCTCTCTAAAGTAACTCTCAGGAGGAGTGCTTTTATAGTGGTTAAAGACATTTATTTACAGAAGACTGGAATGAAAAAAAAGTATAGCCAAGTTATAGATATTATTTAAACTTGTAACATTATCAAATGGTAATCATTAATTAGACCTATTTTCTGTTGTTTTTGTTATTGCCAATCACAGCCAAGTGATCTAAGGAAACATCGGAGAAAGGTATTGTAAACATCTACATGATTACTAGTTGAATATTGTTTTCTATGAAAGCTGTAAAATTATATTCCCTCTAGTTGAAGCATTTTATTAACAGAAAAAATAAATATTAAAAGTATTTAAGTGTTATTGAATTGTTTAAATATGATCATAAGAGTAAATGCATCAAAATAAAATTGTTTATGCTTTCTAGGGTAATGATTATTTTATAAGGACTAAATATCCTTGTTTTCCACAGAATATTTAGACTACTCTTGATAAAATTAGATAGTTTATTGTCCATACTAGAGCAATGCTGCTTGTTTTAAAAAGTAGGTTTTTCTACTATTCGGGCATGTGAGACCAACAGATCAGGAGACGACTGCCAGTAAAGATAGCTTGTTACTCACGTTTCCCAAGAGAACGGGCATACCATGCTGTGTAGGGCAAGCAGAAGCACCAGGGTGGGTCGGGAGGCAGACAGAATGAGGGGAGAACGTGGGCAGGAGCCCTCACTGTGGTTCTTATGGGAGATGCAAGGCAAGGCAAGGCAGGGTAAGCAGGCTTAGGACTGGCTAGTTTGAATAATTTCGGTGGCCTCTAGGGTTATAGGGGTTATCTCTAGTTGTCTAATCCCTGTCCTGGTATGGTGAAGGCAGAGGAATATTGCCTCCTAGGGTACAAGAGTCAAATAGAAAAGATGGTTTGGGGTACTGGTCTAGATTGGTCAGTTAGCATATGGAAGGTGCCCTCCAGGGAAGTGTTTTACTTTCTCTAAGAATTAGCGAACTCCTGGAGGGCATTCTATCCTGGGTCAGCATGGCCCCAGATGATGGAGCATCAAGAATACAGAAAATGTGAAAATATAGTTAATATACTGCTTTCCTGTTTGGTATGACATCAATAGAATAAATATTGGATATGGGTAACAAAGTGGACTTCAGTTTTGACACAAAATGACATCTTGTTAGATAACTGATAACAGCAGAGGTCAGACTCACAGGATATCACATAGGAAAGATTTCAAAGATTCAACCTACTATCCAGGGCATAAATATTTTTCAGCATCCTCTTGGTGTAGTAGTCAGTCTATGCCTAAACAATTCTGGAACCAGAGAACTTTTTTTAATTAAGGGAATCTATATTATGCTTACATGGCTTAGGTTGAAAGAATTTTCTTTTTCTTTTTCTGGGGAAAGAATTTTCTTTTTCTTTTTCATCTCTCTTCCTATAGCACCTTTTCCTTGATACTACCAGTTAGTTCTCAAGTGTCAAATTAACCATGCATGATGTTCTTATTATTTGTCTTTGACTTTCTCCACCACTTAAAATGACTATACTGGGAATTTAGGAAGAAATCTGAATGGGTAATATAAAACAAATTCAGTAGGTATAAGAAAAAGCAGTCACAAAAGAAGATTCTGTCCAGAAATGCAGCCTCAGGGAATTGAGGGAGTAAAGAGATGATTGGTATAAAGGTAGGTCATGGGAAGAAGACCACAAACTAAAAATTGCTGTATGTCAGAGTAAGAAGTTACACACATGATTTCATTTCCACTTCAGAAAAACACATCAAAATAAGTATTATCACTTCCATTTTATTGATGAGGAAACTTAATCTTAGAGTAGGTAAGTCGTTAGCACATGTCATTCAACAAATAAGAGAAACCAGGATTCAAATCCGTCTCTGATTGTAAAGCCTTTCTCCTCCACTTTGTGTCTGTTGTATGAGCTCTAAGGGTTATTCAGAGAATGGTTTTTGTATGACATTTTCAGAGGCTGATATTTGAGTTGGCATAGTTTGACTGGCAGTGTGGAGAGAGGAGGGTATTTTCTAAGAGGGGGTTTCAGGAAAAAAAATCTGGAAGTAGAAATGGTCAAGCCTAGCAGAAATAGTCATGGAAAACAACCATGGTTAGATCATGGAACTGTGAAGACGTAAATACATATCAGGAAGAGTTTGGAAACACACTTCATGAGTTTAGAGAGATGTGAGTTTAGAAAGGATTTGCCATAATATTGACATTATGCTGAAAGTAGTTCTTGAAAAAGATTCTTCTGGTGGCCGTAGGCTAGTCGAAATGGAGAGAGGAAATCCTATTAAGACGCCTCCCTAAACTGTTAAAAGTAACGCTGGCTTGGATGACAAGAGCCCAGACAGTTTTATTAAGTTTCTCCAATGCATGAGGTCTTTGTCATATATGAACACATTTATGCATAATAGCTTAATGTATAAACAAGCAAGATGTTGCATAGATACAAGATGAGAACACAGCTTTAATATTTTTGCTGTAACCATATTGAGGAACTTTTTTTCCATCAGAACTTCCAGAGCCATATGTCTTTTAGTTTTGCCTTCCACAATCTTTCTCTCTCTGTGTATGTATTTTAATGCACAATGATGGTATTTTAAAAAATGCATCATTGTTGTAAAAAAAACTCTCAACAATTAACTTGACTCTTGAAAAGTCTTATATAGTATCTCTGACAAAATTTATGGTATCCCTGAATTGTTCTAGATTCTGAAATAAATTCTTTAAAGAAATTCCTTTCATCTCATCTTCTTGGGTTGTTCTGTATGCTTTTTTCAATTTTCCCATGAGACGCAGTGAAATGAAACAATTTGCAAGAATTATGTTCTTAACTTTTATTATTCTCACTTTAAAAAGTAAAGTTTTTTTCCTTATAAACTGCAACTTGTTTTTTAAACATCCTGGAACACATTTCATTAGCCTGATCTAAAGCACTTTATCTGATAAAGGTGTATTTTGCCAACATTTCTTCTTAGTTCAAAAATCTCCCTCTTGAATGACGTCCATGTTATGATAACCTGACTATGCATAATCTTTTTTTAGTGAATTAATTCAAATATACGTTGAATAACTTTCTGGAAAGCATTTACTTCTGGATATATTGAAATGGATTCCAGGATAGCTTTTTCATAGTCCCTGGATATTGGTCTATAGTGTTTATTAACTTTAAGTCATATTTTTGTGTAGTGGGTCCATTTTTTTTAACTGGAATGTCTTCACTTTTAAATAGTTATGATAGTCATACTCGTTAATAATGTGAATTTGTACGTGTAAGACCTATATGCCCCAAGTCTCTTTGTATTGTTTTTGTATTAGAATTACTCAAATAGCTTTGCTTTAATGATTCTCCACTTCCATCAGTTTCATTTGCAAATTAGAAGGAGATCATCTGAATGTATTGTTTTTGATTCTAGATTGCAGTGGTGGAAGAAGATGGTCGGGAGGATAAAGCAACAATTAAATGTGAAACTTCTCCTCCCCCTACCCCTAGAGCCATCAGGATGACTCACACGCTCCCTTCTTCGTACCACAATGATGCCCGAAGGTATGACTCTCAGCACACTGCAGGTTCTATGCTCCCCTTCCGAAAATATCCCTCTTCCTTTCAATGTTGTCAAATAGACTGCTTAAAAATTTATACAAAAAATTTGATTAGCGCTAGAATTCTTTGTTGGGGTATTGTCCTGCTCTCTCTCCCCAATATCATTTGTGAAAAAAACCAAAATTTCCATTCTGAGAATATTTTTAGTTTTAAAATTAACTGTATATTTGCAATCTTGTTATTAGCCAGTGTTGATAAGAAGAGCTCTTCTATTTTTGGCCTGTATTTCTTATTAAAATAGAGTCAGGCTAGAGAAAGGATGTACTAAGAAAGTAACAAAAAGCTGAAGGGATCCTAGGACAAGACTATCAATTTGGCTTATAGTGTAAAAGTGATTAAGGTCTGAAAAGTCCATAATTGCGCCTCACATACTTTCAGCAGACAGGTATGTACACGACCGTATGGGTGCTTGTGCTGCCCGCTAGAACAGCTCCTCAGGCAGAAAGTTCTTAGAAACGAAAAAAAGCAAATTTGCCAAAATATTAAAAGAAAAGGTAAGTTTACGTGGGGAGAATATCCCATTTGTCATAGTGACTCTTCATACTGTCCTTTCCATCTGCATAAAAATTTGCAAGCAGAGCTCTATAATAAAGATGTAAATAAATCTAAGCATGCAATTTACATCTTAAGAGTGTGTCCTTCTTATCACTTGCAGTTCTTACCAATTGCAGCATCTCTGGACACATAATCCATACAACAAAATGTGATGACTTAGTGATTAATACTTTAAGTAAGACTCTATCTTCTAAATGGTATATGTATATCTGAAAACAGAGCTTTTTGTGCTGTCAGGCATTTTGTTCTTCATATTTTGTTTACTTTTCACTTCTAATGTGGAAAACAAACACAGTTACTCCAGCTTCGAAATACCTACTTCCTCCACTTTCAAAAAAGAGAGTGAATTATATTGTAACATATGAAAAGCTATTGCTTTGGAGTTTAGAGAGTGTGAACCTAGATTAATTAGGATGAATAAGTAAAGTTAAATAGTTCATTATATTATTGTCAAATTAACAGTTGTAGGAAAAAATGATAGAAACATCTATTGAACCTCTCCGATTAATACAGTGTCAAATATTGATCAGGAATAGAGCCGAGACAAACTGCTTGAAAATCCTTTCACCTTATAATGTACCTAAAAGAATACCTGAGAACTAGAAGAAAACATATCCAGTGGTCACTAGGGTATGTGATCTGTTGCTGTTAAATACCACCCAGACCACTTAAGACTAGATGAATTAGACTCTAAAACCGAGAGAGAGAAAGAAGGCTGGAGGAAATTCCAATAAAACCAGGGGCTACAATAGCACCTTAAATTTCGCTATTGGTTATATTTAACTGTCTTATCATAGGTCATGACGTTTAAGATTACAAAAACAAGCTCCAAGAAAGAAATAGGTAAATGGTCAAGTGCTAAACAATAGATCGGTTAACAGGCAGTTAATAAGCCAATCTATGTTTATTGATTAGTTTGAGATTATACAAAAAATAAGGGAAAAAATAATTTGGAACCAAAAGAAATTTTTCTAGAGAAAATTTGGAGGCTAAGGGCCCATTGGCTGAGGAAACCACTCTTCAATATGCTTAAGAATAAACGTGGGAAGAAAGGGAGACATCAACATTCAAAGTCTACTTGTTCCCTCTTGTGTGCCTTCACAAAGGAAACAAGCCTTGTGTACCTTGGGGATGTTGCACCAAAACTAGCAGTTTGTCCTCTTTTGTGTTTTGCAGTAGTTTATCTGCCTCCCTTGAGCCAGAAAGCCTCGGGCTTGGCAGTGCCAACAGCAGCCAAGACTCTCTTCACAAAGCCCCCAAGAAAAAAGGAATCAAGTCTTCAATAGGGCGATTGTTTGGTAAAAAAGAGAAAGCTCGACTTGGACAGCTCCGTAAGTAGGCGTGCACTTGACTTTCCACTGCCGCTCACTTTAGTCACTTCTGAGTGTCTATTGATTTTACATTTCATTTCATTTCTCATCTTTTCATTTCTTCTTTTTCCTACTTGACAAACTTTTTATGTTAATCAGCTTTGTAAATCCAATTTAGCTGAGTAATGCTTGACACAAGTCACAAGGGAAGACTATTTGTAAAACTTTCAGTCCTTGTCATTTCTCTGTAAATAACAATAGCTAGAATATGTTTAATGCTAACTGTGATGGACTCAAGGACCCTCTGAGGCAAGTTTTATTACTGTCATCTTTATTTATTGATGAGTAAACAATGTCTTAGTAATTCGCAGAACTGAGGTATTCATCCTAGTGCCAAAGTTTCAAAACCAGCTTAAAATCACTGAGTATCTTGTATCCATGTGTATAAACGCTTAACTCAGCAAATTTAAAGCTTTTCTGTTGAAAAAAATTGAGACGCTTACAAAAAATCTGAAAGAATTTTTTAAGTCACAATAAAGGATTATGATACATAGAACATAAAATGTAAAAGACAGGGTTACTTTGTTTAAAACTATCACAGCTTTCTGCTACAGCCTCTACAGCATGTAGGTGGGGAATGGAGGAAGGAATAGGGTGCTAGAGATTGTTAATTATTAATGATTAATTGAATAAAATATAGATCAGTACATTTGAAATGACCCTAGGTAAATACATAAACATAGTTTAATGGATGGAGACACGTATCTATATATAAACTTGTCTGAAGCAAAAAGAATATGTAAAATGTGTTCCCTGAAATGATGATATATACACTTGATTTTTTTGTTGTTGCCTTTCTATATATTTATTTTTTATTCTGAAATATCTTTTAATCATCTTGGTTATTCATGATTGCATCTTTTTTTTCCCTCTTCTTCTATTTACCTGAGAACTAGAGTTAAATTACCGAGAAAGGATTTAGCTCCTACTTCCAATGGTAATTGCTGAACAGAGTGATACCAGAATTTCATAGCACCTCCTTTGGTTTCTCAAATAAAGGAATGACTATTCACAGGTCATGCCCCAACCCCCAGGGTTAGTTTCCTGCCCTGGCACCAAAAGGATTTCTGAGAATAATATTTATGTTTGCAGATTTAGGGCTGTAGTATTATTCAAACATGGCTTTGTCGACTTCCACGGTGTGAAACCCACACAAAGCATCAGAAGCCATGGGAAACTGATGTGTAGCTAGCTGTGTGATTAAGTGCTATTCAGCAGGAGAATTAAATCCTCTTTGCATTTCTGTTTCTCAGGAGAGGAACCCCTTAGGCTATAGAAAATAGTATTGCACAAGAAAAGAAGCAGGAAGATGGTTATTTTTTGGATATAAAATGTATAAACCAAAATGTTGTTTTAAAATTTGTTTTATTTTATTTGACAACTGTTTATATTCTTACCAAATTATTTCTCATTTCCAGTATATTATAGTGTAATTCACAATAGTGTGGATAGTTATTTTAAAATATTTATTTTAATGACATAGTAATCATTTTATTTTTTCCTATTTCAACATACATGTTCATCTTAGGCTCTATAATTTACTTTTCCCTTTTAAAATGTGCTTAATTGTCTTTTCACTTAGATTATCCTACTTTTATTTTATATTTAACTTTGATGAAGAATTACTAAATCATTAGGAATTTCGCTAATAATAGGCCGTCAAAATTGGAGTATCCTAGATACAATTTAAAATCTAGAAAACTATACGCCTTCTAGAAACGTAGCCTTTCCTATCCATTTTCAATGACTGTGTCTCTATGTCAGAACAGATGAGAACAGAATTAATTACAATTATATTCTTATGAACTTCATCCAAGTTAGAACCCAGCAATAGTTATTTGGGATCCTATCATAGACTTGGGAACATTTCAGAACCATGAGCAATTTTGTTTTACTCCACAAAACAACAGAGATAGAGGATAAACAAAGCTGAGTCATCAGCATGGTCAGGACTGCGATGATGATGAGGAAGTCAAAGACAGAAATCTATACCTCTGAAGCTGCATAGAAGCTACATTGAGGTTGAATCAAACCTCCTAGATAATCCAAGAAAAAAAGATGTTTATTGGAAATAAGACTTGAAGAAATATGAAGAAAATATAGACATAAATACATTTCAGGAAACCATATTGGTACCAGAAGAAAATTGTGCATGAGACAACTGGTACTTTAGTTGAAGGATATGGACTCATATGCCTGGACTCATATCCATTTGTCCTGGAAGGTATATCCAGGTTGTGAGGTAAAGATCATGAAAACTTATCAAACCCAGGGGCTGCCACCCCATGCTAATGACACATGCATCAGAAGAAACTAGGATAACATCTCTAGTGATTATGATTTTGATATCTTGATCTGGGAAATTCAGACACAGGAACACTGACAATGTTATTTCTTCTACCAGTAAAAATAGAGAGAGGAAATAAGATAGGATGGCATGGAAAGTAAGATGGTACTGAGATGATGGTGTCAAAGAACCAAATTTGAAATTTTGGGCCATGTCCTACTATTTAGAACTCTTAGTTGAAGAGTTTAGCACATAAGGACAGAGAAACATAAGTTAACCTGAGAGTAGCTATGCTAAATGCCTTTAAATGAAATATGGTGTGGAAAAAGAAAATGGTCTAAATAAAACTATGAAAATGTTCGCTTGGTTCCATCAGGAAGGATAAACAACAAGAGAGGAATTCTTAGTGATTCACAGAGGAGAATAGTGGTAAGGGGGTGTTGTTTGCCTTATATGACCATCTGAAAAGCTAGGTAATAAGGTAAACTTCAGATGACAGGTCAGTAGATATGACTACATTCATAACCCCTAACTATGGAGAATCAAACTCAATATACATATTATCTATTTTTACAAATATTTTACTAGCAGAGGCAATATAAATGTGGAAACCCCAGAACTCAAAGGAAACAATATTTGGAAAAGGATTTGCATAAAGCTAACAGAAACCAAACAAAATTATTTTATTCCAGAAATCTATTACAGCATGTTTTCCAAATGGTTGGTGATTATTCAGTCAAGTCACAGTAGTAGCACAGACAAAAGTTGGGTAGTAATAGGAGGTTTCAAGTTTTCAGATTTCTTATAGAAAATTCATTCTACGCTTATCAGAGGGTTTGACAGTTCTTGTTCAAAGTATTATTGCCCATAATGTAGCAGCAGGATTTGCAAACTAAAATATCTACTTGAAGGTACTTCAAGTGATGTGCAGGGTAGAAAATAACAGGAGTGACGTAGACTCGAATGAATCAATGAACATTGTTCTTCCATTAAAAGCATTTAAACTCAATTTTTAACTACTATTCAGGAAAGATAAAACATTTATATGCGCCAAGTCTACTTGAAGGTTGCAGTGAATTTGAGGAGAGTGTCCTGGCAGATGGCCTTCTAGCGGACTTGGGAATCTGACTTTAGTTTCTCGTTCTCTCTCTCTCTTTTTTTCATTTTTTCATTCACTCTCTTTCTATGCTACAAGTCCCAAGATGAAAAGATTCAGAAATAGGTTTGATAATTTCATTGAGGGGCATGGAGACAGCAGGGCTGATAAAGACTTCTGCTGATCTCCTGGAGCATAGATCCAGGATGTAATAGCATCCTTTTAAGACTTAGTAGCCCAGTGACCACAGCCTTTCCCCTGCTGATTCATGCATCCAGATACAATGCATCCCTGATATTTCCATTAATATTTAAACACGCTCATATCTAATCTATATTTTAAAAGTCATCACTTGATCCTGCCATCTTGCCTAGATATTGACTCATCTTTCCCTTAGTCTTAAGATCCAAGCTTAAGTGAGTTTTCCACAACTGCTATTTTTACTTCCTCATCTGTCAATCACTTTACAACCTACCACAGCCTGACTTCCACACAAACTTCTAGAAACAAGTTCAATCTTAACCAACATAGAAGATTGGTTAGGACAAGGAAGGTTAGATATTATCAAAGCAATTCAAGAGGAGGTAACACACTCATAATTTTTACAATGATGTGAACTTAAGAAGCTGTATATCTGAAATAGGAGACATCCTTCTAAAAACAGATTTTAAAAGAGTTTGGTACTGGGGCCGGCCTGGTTGCACAGCAGTTAAGTTCGCACATTCCACTTCGGAAGCCCAGGGTTGGCTGGTTCGGATCTGGGGTGCGGACATGGCACCGCTTGGCAACCCATGCTGTGGCAGGCGTCCCACATATAAAGTAGAGGAAGATGGTCACGAATGTTAGCTCAGGGCCAGTCTTCCTCAACAAAAAGAGGAGGATTGGCAGCAAATGTTAACTCAGTGCTAATCTTCCTCAAAAAAGAAAAAAAACAGGAAGAGTTTGGTGCAAAGTTGTATCTATAACAAATAATAGATATAAGTAAATAGCATAGACACGTAAGAACAGTGTCAGGAAAGCCACTTGTCAAAATAAACTGATAATTGGAAAAACTTCCCCAAAGGGGAATTATGAAATCCTTATTATTACTTTTGTTTAGTAGTTTTAAAATTTAAAGAAAATAAGTAAAGTGAAGGTTTACCTTATGTGAACAGAATATACAGATAGGTGGAACTATTCAAAAACTCTCATTTTTGCCTCTATCTGCTTACTTGAAGAGAAAGATTTCTCCCAAAAAAAAGCATTAACAAGAGGGCATTGAAGCCCAAGAGGGTAGAGATTTTGAGGAAAAAAAACAAAACAGATAATCTAAATTCATGTATTTCTTCACACTTTGAGTGAATAAGCACAGCCACTGTTGAACGCAGAGTACCAATCATGGACTTTAGGAAAATGGCTAAAACGTAGCTGATGGCATTGAGGAACTTCCATTTTTTAAGATGGATAGTCCATAAACATATTCAAACTTTTATTTAAAACAAAACAAAAACTTCAGTGTATTTCTGGCCCAGAAAAATTTTACCTGATACATTGTCTGTCCTATCAGGACAGCTAGGAGACAAGGGCTCTGAACCCCAA